CTTGGGATAGCTAACTTGGTCTTGGGCTTCGTCATGGGCCTGGGCGAGTTGGAGATGCCCATCTGCTTAGTGTGGGCCTGCTCGGCTTCTTGAACTGGTGCCCGGTTCCGAGGTACAAACTCCCCCGTTTGTGAGCCCTGCCCGCGGCCTTTGTTAACATTTCCATTTCCCTCCACTTGCTGTCGAACATGTTTGTTAATCCACACAGTATTTCTAGCACCACGAAAACCAGTGTTTTCCTCCACATCCTAGTAAATTTTACGCCCAATCTTCCTTGTAGACATGTGGGGGCCAAACTTTTCTTTCCCATATGGAGGATCAAATGAACAGTCACGACGCGCATGGCCTAGGGGGCCACATGATAGCAGAAGGTTGGGAGGAATTCATATTTCAACTGAATCCAAAAGCAATCGGTTTTTTCACTGACCGCCATAATTTGAGACCTCAAAGGTTTAGAAAAATCCACCAAAGCACGAACTTTCACAAAGCTTTCCCCCGTATCTTTGCAGGCGAAGAAACCAGTTTCTAAGACTTGGCCAATAGTGGGCGCTACTATTTTTTGTCCGAATTGCTTGGTACAGCAATCTTCCTTCACGTCCCAAAGCTGGATGCAAAAAGGAGCGATAGCAAGATCGTCAAAGATCTGCTTACTGATCATTGGCGTCCATGAACGAAGGTTGATAAGTTTATCTTTGATCACCCAAGGGGTCCGTTTCAAGACCCATATTTTAGATTCTTCACTGGGCAAGACGATCTCAATCAGCCCATTTTTGGTACGAGCGACCCGTAGTTGGCCTCTCATTTGCCACGCCTTACTCATCTCGTCCATGAGGTCCACGGAATTTTGTTGATTGGAGCTCTTGCAGGGAGAATTCAACTACCTGATCGTTAGCAGCACGAGCCATCGTTATCCCCTGCAACAGAAACGGAGGAGAATTAAGAGATTGGCTCGAAGCCATGAAATTGGTTTCCTGGTCGGGGGGGGGGGGGGGGGGGGAACAAAGCTTGAAAGCCAAGAGGGATTAGGAATTGGTACAGAACAGGGGGATGAACTTGACGGCATATTCATCATACCTGAGAGAACCTCGTTGGCAGATATGGGTTGGAGAGGCGTTTCTCGTTGCTCTTTACCTCGTGGCAGTTTAGTGTTACAGCGGAGCCAGGGCTGAGGGAAAGAGTTGAACGAGATGGAAGGAGCAAGAGCTCCCTTTATAGACCGCCCAACCTGTCTGCTAACTTCCTCTCTTAGAATTCGAAAGGGACTGTGAGTCCAAAAATTGGTTAGGATCTGGAAATCCTCTTTTCTTTTTTTATTTGATTTTCTCGGTTTGCTCGGTAAGATAAGGCCGAGTAACTGCCCAGCCCCAAAAACAGGGAGATCGGGCCCAAATCTTTTCCCCACCGCCGTAATTAGCACCGAGCGATCAACACAGGATTGCAATGCCATGTCGGTACAAGACGATTGCGATTTGAACACGTTACCGGAGCAATTACTTGGGTGCACTTTGCTTGTTACCGAACACCCCAGCGCCAGCGGTAAAGGCCCACATTTTCCGAAGGGGAGATCTCGATCACTTCCGCAAGATGGTTTCGTTAGCCCACCTTCCCCGAAGGGGTGATCGCGATCACTTCCGCAAGATGGTTTCATTGGTCGCATCCCAGGTTGTGTTTGTTGCTCATTCACCATTGGAATCGAGCTTGGAGACAGGACATCCCCGTCCAGCACAGACGAAGGGGGGAGCCAGAACCTCCACCCCTTCAAAGCTGTTTTCTGCATCTTTGAACCGAATCAACAGAGGAGAGCTCTATAATTTCACTTAGAGCCTCCAATCTTTTTCTTTTCCGGTTCGAGAGGACCTTTCGGTGGATCGTGCAACCATTCTGAGTACATTTTGGATCTGCAACCGAGGGCCTCTGTACAGTTGCTCTGCAATGCCAGTAACGCCCGTTACCTCCCACACGGATATGAAGATCACCAATCATAGGATTATTGCAGAAGAGCATCTGATTGTGCAAGTTGGTCGAAAGGAAGGCGATTAGCATCGCCCAGAGCCAGCGGCCGATTGCGGCACTCAGCGAGAGGAGAGAGGAGAGAGCTCCTCGCATCCCACTTTTTTTCCCGCTCTACAGTCAATTCAAAAATAAAAAGTTTGTCTATAGTTCGGGCCAAACTAAGGTATTAACCCTAAATTTAAATAAGACAAGTTATTCATTAGTTATTGTATTCATTTCAACAAGTTAATCATTAATCAACGTCCACTAAATATCAGAGATACTTGTATAGAAGATCCCACAGACCATGAAATCGACAGAGATGAAAACGGGAGAAAAGTGAAGCAAACCAACTCTTATACCATGTCATAAACCAGTTGGTCCAAATAACTCGAGTTGTTGGGAGAAGGTTATGCTGGATCTTATGCAGGCCCGTGTATGGTGCTTAACCACTTCCTTACAGTAAAAATATGGCTGTTGAAGATTGGGAGAGAGGATAGGGGAGGCAATCATCTTTGATCTTTCCATGTTCGGCTAATTAATTCTGTTTGCGTTGTTATATCATATATGATTAACAGATTAAGGCGTGGATTTATTAGGCTAAAGATAGGGGGTATAACCATGGTTATGCACCCATCAATAATCAAATCTGTACCCTTCATTTAGAAAATTTAGATCTAAGGATGGAGAATTAAATGTCATTTTTATTTTCCCTAGTTTTCTTAATCGGCTCATATCTTCTTCATTTTAACTCGGTTTTTTTTTACATAGATGGAACGAGTTCATCGTGCTCTACAAAATGAGATCTATTTTCAATATTTTTTGAGAAATAAAAATTCTTGCCTCTCGGTACCAACTGCATACCATATGATATCTTCTTAGTTTTTAATTCTTTTTTTAAAATGTTTGCACAGAAGGGACGAGTTCATCATCGATCTATTGGATCTACAAATTTCTGGGTGTACAAATTACAGGACCAAAAAATAACCCACAATACCACCATGGTACGGGGTGGTATCTTGTGGTACACAATGTTAAAAGTCGTAAATGACAGTTAATGTACTTCTACTATCATGTATTCAATCATCATACAGTCCTGGTTTGTTCATACCACCATGATACGCTTTTCAAACCATAGGTATGCTCTTATTTCAATACCTGTCAATACCTAAAAAATGGTTCAATTATTTTTGTTCGAAAAATATATCAGAGTGGATATCATTTTGAAGAGCACAATTAATATGATATAACTATGCAAAAAAATTAAATTTTGACTTAAAACGAGTGAGAAATCGTTCGTCAAAGATTAAAGAGAGAAAAATTGAAGTCTTTCCATGAGAGAGAGATGCTGATGTCATGCCGATATGGATAGGTTACTCATAGTTACTCAACATAAGGTTACTGACCTGATCCGCTCCCGATTTATCGAGTACTGACTTTTCCCGTTGTGATGGTTGGAGTCTTTGGGAACATTCCAACTTTGAGTTTTATTAACATTGTAAATGCTTTAATTTTGCCGATCAATCCAAATGAAACCAATGTTCGAGCTCCAGACAAAGAGAAACCAATATTGATAACAATTTGAGAATGGATAACAGAACTTCAATTATGCAGCCCGGCGTTGTTAAATTGCAATTAATGAAGTCACTAAGCATTAGGTCAATTAAACTCTATTAGTAAATTACAATAAATTCCAGCAGTAAATCTAAATACGACAAGTTATTCATTAGTTATGGTATTCATTAATTTGAACAAGTTATTCATTAATCAACGTCCACTAAATATCAGAGATACTTGTATAGAAGATCCTACAGACCATGAAATCGACAGAGATGAAAACGGGAGAAAAGTGAAGCAAAGCCAAATGCCATGCACTAATTAACTACAAACAAATGGTTCATCATCTCTTGTATATGACGACAAAAAGCAAAATGATGAGGAGGGATTAAAATCCATAACCACCAAGAACACAAATCCAACCGCGTCTGTCTGCCTTTTGTCCATCCTTTTAAACTAACTAATACGGGAACAACAAATGGAACTCAACCATCCATTGAAACTCAAATTCAAGATGCCTCCCACCAACTCCACGTGTCTTTTCCTCTTAACATAACAGACAATTGCGCGTTTCCTAAGTCAAGCATCTCCCCATATTATATTTTGTCTTTTCCATAAATAAATGAATAAGAATCCGGCTTAATTACAAGTTGGTGCTTGGCTTTTCGTAAGCAGGGTCGTCTGCTCCTTCATTGTTTTACTTGTTTCATATAAGTCCTATGTTGTTGTAGATAGAAATTACATGCATTAGAACCAATGCAGTTAAAAGCGCGATTCTACCTAGAAACGATTGGGTGACCTACAAGCGTAAAACCGTAAGCTTTTAAGTTTTAAAACGTAGATTTTGACTACATTTGTAAGGAGAAATCACGATTATACGTAGAAGCGTTTTGGTGAGCCAAAAAGGTAAAATCGTAAGCTTTTAAGTTTTAAATTGCGATTTTGACTGCATTGATTAGAACTGCATCTGAAGGCGAGACTGAAAACCATCAATGAAACACCGAGCACGATTCTTAAGAAGATTTCAATTTCACTGTTAGATAATAATAACAATGACAATTATTTCAATTTTTTTGTAGTTGAATTTGTCAAGAAGTTTCAAAAACAAAGTTGACTTGGCTTCTTGCGTTAATGATTTAGCAAACCTCTCAAACTTAAAGATAGTGAACATTATTTTACGAGCAAATATTATAAACTTGATGGTAACAATCACATTTTCTAAGATATAAGTACAGACGTCATTAATGAATTGGTCTGAAATGTAAGAGCTTAGAAGTCATGCGTCCGCATCTAACTATTTAAAAAAGTTAATTATCAATGTAGCGCAAGGACCGGATTGTAAAATCTAGAAATAGTTAGCACCTCAGTGGTAAATCCGGTGACCGCGGAAATGTAGCGCCCCGGGGAAGTTGTTGAATATATATAGATTGCCTCCCGTATCTTGTTCATTCCCACCTCTCTCTCCCAACCCAAAATAAAATACCTCTCATTCTTTCTTTCAATCTATCATCTGAAATCCAAAGTTTATCCAATTCCGATTCCAATTCTTGTAATGGCGGCTTCGTTGAAATTCCCGGTGCTTCTCTTCCTCTCTTCCCTCTTCCTTCATGCATCTCTAGGTAACGTCAAATTTACCACAGCCTGCTCTGGCCTTTGAATGGAAACTATGCTGTTTCATTTTAATTTGATTTTTGAATTCTTGTTGTGCAGCGTCGGAGATTGTGTGCGAGGATCTGGGGAAGGAGGTGTGCGCATTCGCGATATCGACGTCGGGGAAGAGATGCCTGCTGGAGACGTACGCCGCCGCCGGAGGGGAGGTGGAGATGCAGTGCCGGACGTCGGAGATTATGGTGGAGAGGATGCCCGGCCACATCGAGACCGACGACTGCGTCAATGCATGTGGCGTCGACCGGACCTCCGCCGGCATCTCCTCCGACTCCCTCTTGGAGCCCAATTTCACGGCCAAGCTCTGCTCGCCGGATTGTTATTCCAACTGCCCCAACATCGTCGATCTCTACTTCAACTTGGCCGCCGGCGAAGGTTCTTTTTCCCCCCTTAATTAATTCCCTTTCCTTATCTCCGCTCTGCTTAATTAATCATGCATGTTTTTCCCCCCTTCTTTTTAATGTTGATATTAAGTGTCTTGATATGTGGAGATCAGTTCGTACTAACTTTGTTGGACCGCCATCTTATGTGTTTAATTGTTGAATTAAGATGTCGTTGTAATTCATAAAAACTAGCAGACCAATCGTTTAGAACACATAAAATAAAAATTTAGAACACGTTCTAATTATTGTTGCACATTAGCCTAATAACTAAATTCATGGAAACCTTATATTTTGTTGGGTGATATGATTTCCCAGTTCTAGTGTGAACCAAATGCAAGCACAATATTTCATCCTAAATTTCATCACTTGGCCCACTACATTTGCAATCTCAAATGATTAGCATTGTAGATACAATAAATTTAGACTTACAAAAAAAAAGGTAAGTTGAATTGTATAAATTGTGAGGTGACCATATAAAACAAGTGTTTTTTTTTTTATAGTTAAAATATAAAAACAAGGATGGTGTCTTTATGCAAAACATTAAAGTTGGACCGAGTTAAACTATAAACCGGCATATTTATTGTTTTGTTTTCTTAGAGATTGTTGCCGTTGGAACCAAGTCTCCCACAGTGTCCTTTCTTCGTTTTTCTTTTTTATTGAATTAGGTAAAGACGAGATGTCTAATGTAACGACAGGATTGTGAGAGGAGGAAAATAATAATAATAATAATAATAATAATAATAATAATAATAATAATAATAATAATAATAATAATAATAGTAGGTTGCTTACTTGAAATGGCTAAGCTGAAGAAGAAGATTCCGGCGTTTGATTTCTTCTTCTGTGGCCCGACTGGCTGGATGTATAATGTATTAGGTTCCTTGCTTCAAATGCCATGTTAGTCGTTTGCTTGTTGTCGAATCAAAGAATTTTTGTCCTCTACCTTCACCCTTTTCAATTTGTTGCGATAGAGGCATCAAGTTATCAACTTTCAGATTTAATTAACTTATATTGCTTTGTAGATTAATAAATTTGTCTTGCAAAAGAAGACACCGTGCTTAAAAATGACGACTAACGGTAAATATTGGGGCATATACTATATAGGTGCGTTTTTGCCAGAGATATGCAAGGAATCGAGGAACAACCCACACCGTTCGATGATCCAACTGATGAGTTCAGGTTCTGTGGCTGTTGCTCCTTCCACCGCCGAGGATCTCACCGCTGCCGCCGCCGAGGCACCCAGCCCTATGTAATGCAATTCTCCCGTACGTTTTGGCGGTGCCCATTAAGTTGCTCATTTCAGATTTACTTTTCCGCAGCGCCGATCGACTACTGTAAATTAATTTTGTGACGACGAATTTTATTACTTTAGTTGAGTTATTATTACTAATTAATTATACGTGTAAGAGAGCAATTGAGAGATGAGCAGCAGAAAATTCATGTGCGTACGTACATGCCTACCTGTGTTTTGCGGAGACTGGGGAGTTGTACAAGTACTATGGTTGTTATACACTAGCTACTGTTTGTTTTTACTACATGAATCTGTTTCTAATTCTGATTTCCCACCAAGTTCTACAAAAATTAACACAAGCTACATTTTAAATGGGTTTGACGCATACACACAAGGGTATCCTATCGTAATTAATATTAATATATATATCAATATATATAAAGCTGAAGTAAGTTTACTATGGCATAAAAAGTTACTTTATTTAATACCCCAAATTTAATTAAATCATAACTTAATCACTATAATATATATTTTGCATTTTGATACCTCAAATTTAATTTTAATGTAAATTCATTGAACAATTATATTTTGGTATCTACATTTTATAAGATTTTCATACCTACAATTTTTTAAATTTACATATTGATCCAATGTTTAGATTTCACTTGAATCCATGGATATTCATACCCAATTCATACACATTTAGATTATGGAAGTAAATATCCTTACCCTACCCAAACCCTTCTACAAACTTCCAAACCCACATATATGTCACCCATACGCTACCCATAATCAATGGGTCACTTGGGTTTAGGTAATATATCATTTACTTGCCAAAATTTTCAAAATTGGATATTCACCGCTATATGTCTATTCTCAGTCAAGGTCATATTATCAAGTCAATATTACTAACAAACTTGCTAATTTTTTTTAGGTTTAGACGCCTAATAATACTAACAAAACACCATAACGGGCAACATAATCCATGCCAATAGGCCATCTCCATCCCAACGACAAGGCACGGCATTGGTTCTCATTGGTTCTTTCTTTCTTTTTCCATGCATATGTTTTCCCTTTTTCTTTTGATAAAATATGTTTTTCCCATTTTAAGATTTTGCAACTTCCACATAATCCATAGTTGTACTTTTATTTGCATGAGATATTTGGATTCACACCTACTCTAAAAATGTTTCTCAATAGTTGTACTTTTTTTCATGAGATATTTGGATTCACACCTACTCTATAATGTTTCTCAATTTGAGAGTTGTGAACTTCTGATAATGTTTTAACTTTGGAAATAGATTTGCAACGGTGGTACCTGTCCGAATCTGACTTAATCAGATAGCGTAAAATTCGAACTCAGAGTGATTTTTAGTGGGTGTGAAAAAACTTGAATCTGAATATTGCGGTAAAGAGTGGACATGATTTTCTCACTATGAAACCCAAATATGCTTGATTGAACACATGCACATGTATATTTTTAGTAAGCTTATTATTTTTCTCTATAACTTTGATATCTATTATACATATATAATATTTTCGTACAGTTGTGTTGTTTTACTAATTTTCTTCATTTTAGTGATTTTTATTGTCGTACGCAATGTCATTATACGAGTGAATGTTAACATGCTGGTTAGATTTATATATAAAGAAATATTATTGCCCATGGATAACACAAGAAAACTCGAATCATCGAGAATGGACATGATTTTAATTTTCTGCTCGATTCTTGTTTGAGTATGAGTATGGCTAAAACCAAACTATTCTAGGTAGGATAATAGATATGCACTATCCGCCTCCGACCTGATCGATTTCCATTCCTAATTTCCATTAATTCCTTTTCATTTTGTTGATTTGATAAAAATTAGGATGACATACCATTGGTACCCAAATGAATTTGAATAATTTGATTTGAAAATGTTCAATCAATAAGATATTTTGGGGGCTTACCTCAAAACTCAACTAAGAAAGTAATATTTTTTAGTATTCCTTCCAAAATCAATTCACTATTTTCTACAAGTGCGATTTAGATTCCCTCACTTTACCAGTTAGAGCACTCATATCTTTAAGATTTATTTTTTATTTTATACTTTCATTCTTGCTTATTTCTATTCATTTATTCAATAATATATTTAAAATCCGTCTACATCAACATCTTAAGAAAAATATTGCACAGTATCAAGAACTTTTTGCTAGGTTAGTTTTGACAATGTCATAATTATAATTTCTTTTTACAAGAATGATTACTATTTAATCATGGTTCAATACTGATATACAAAAATAATTGTTATATAATTTCATCAATAAAATTTGATACACCTTTATGATTTTGTATTTTGTTGCTTCAATTCAAATTATATGGTGTTAGGGTTAGTAGATATCAGCCCAACACGTGAATAATCTTTTAATGGTTTAATTTTGTGTTTGGCGCACTCACTTAGGATAATGCATTAACTTGTGATTTTATGTGATATCATCATATTAGACTCATGTTACCAATAGAACTTCAAAATTAGATGTCTTCAAATTACTTTTAAAATTGGGTGAATAGTATGTATGCATTTTTGTAATATAAGATGTAATGTTGTCATTAGCTTATTAAACAGAATAATATTTGTGACTAACCAGCAAAGTAAAAAATTAAAAAGAAACCGCATGCCATTGCAGAGCTCGCCCGCCACCTATCTATTTAATATATATAAAACAAAAGCAGAGTTATTGTTGCCTAAGGATAGTTTAAGCTAGCGATTAGTTGCAAGCAAACCCTCTAGCGAATTGGGCCTGTTTATGGGCTTTTTAATTATTAGAGTTTGGGCCGCATTTATCCCCTTATCACCTTGCTTTCTCCTTTCTTAGTTCTCCTGTTCGTAAGCTTGGTGCGTCCCCTTTGGATCATTCAATTTGGAAGTGGGTTTGGAGCAGAGTTCTACCTCCAAAGTTACACTTCTTTCTGTGGCAATTCGTATCTTGCCAACAAGGGAAGCTTTGTTCATTCGCGGTGTGGATCTTCTTCCTATCTGCCCTGTTTGTGGGCGAAAAGAAGAGAAGGTTGAGCATCTTTTCTTCTCCTGCTCGTTTGCGTGGAAGCTTTGGCGTATGGTTGGTTTGGGCCATCTTCTTCGCCAATGGGAGACTAGATCCTTTTATGAATTTGTCAGGTACTCTCTGTTTTCCATTGACGGTACGAAATCAGATTATGGAAGAATCGCTGCTCGGTGCATTTTGATCATAAACAGGTTCTGCTTTCCACCTTAGCATCTCAGTGGCGTCACCAAGTTGATGAAGCAGACAAGGCTTTACTCTAACCCGGTGGACAGTCTCCTCTTCCCAATAGTTTTCATTTTTCTGCAGGTTCATCAATTTATTGTTCGACGAAGTTTGATGCTGCGATTAAAGTGGGATCGGGTGGTGTTGCAGCGTCTGTTCTGTTGGATGATTCAGGAAGTCTCCTTTCAGCATCAGTCAACCATTATCCTGGGATTTGGGATCCTTTCACCGTTGAAGCCCTGGCACTCCGTGATTGTCTGATTGAATGCCGTCGGCGACATCTTAATTCCATTAATATTGGCAGTGATGCAAAAGTGTTGATAGGCAAATGTCGGCAGCATGATGTGTCGGAAGCAAGGGCAGGGACAATTCTTCAAGAAATTTGTTCACTTTTGGAAGATTCTCCGGGAACTTAAGTTCATTTTGTGGGTCGTACTAGGAACAGAGTGGCTCATTCGGTAGCTCGTCATGCTCTATTGTTGTCACCTCGCTATCATAGGGGGGTTCGACTACGTTTCTTGGTTCAATAGTCGATAGGTTCTTTGTAATCTGGGATCGTTGGTTTTCCTCTTTTTAAGAGTGATCGATTGGCAAAAAAAAAACTGTTTCTCTTGTTTTTATGCTATGTTTATAGTCGTTCTTCCATAAAAGCATCTCATTAGGCATCATAACACTTTACATAGAGAACCGAGAGAACGTGGATTTGCAGAGACAAACACATGCACGGTAGCTAAAACTTCTTGATTTATCTTCATCAAGTTTTTTGAACCGTGTTTACCGTTGCTCCAGGTTTATATTAGCAAGTAATAATGATTCTAACGGGGTGCACCAATTTAGGTCGGTTCATGACGATTTAACAAAATATATAAAAATAATAAAACCATTAACATCATATGAAAAACGTATTTCAAGATAATCTACTTATAATCTACATCCATATTAATAAATATAATATTTTATAAAAAATAAAAATACTCAAATTTAAATACAATATTTATCATCAACAATGTAGCGTATATACTAAAATTCTGCAAATATTAACGCGTTTAACTTTCAAATTTTAAATATTTAACATTAATTTTTCTTAATTAAATTAAGTAAAACAACATCATTTTGTTTAGAGGACAAAAATCAATCATGCCGATCAATACCAATGATATTCCATCTGGTCTCATCGCCAATACCAGTTATACTAGGTTTAGCCGACTGCCATTTTTTATTATGAAAACGGGTGCAAAGCACCACTACCTCTTATTCATAAATCGAACGAACGGTAAAACCGCCAACAAAGTCAAACAGGGTCCAATGGCAAACATCAGAGTCCGAAACAGGAACAGAGTGAAAGCCTGTGGTCAGAGAGCGCCCCTTGTGAGCAAGACAGTCGGCCAAAAAAATGGCCTCCCTATAGATGTGAGTGATACGCACAACCCAGTCCCTGCGAAGCAAAGCGTGGAACGACATGGTGAGGTTAGCATGCTGATGGTTGTGCTGTCCTGAGTCGTGAAGAAGAGAAATCGTCATCCTGGAATCGAGTTGGAGCTCTACTTGTCGATGTCCTGCTTCTCAAGCTAGCTTAAAACCCTTCAATGCCCCCCAAATATCTGCACGGGTGATGGTACATTTCTCTAGGTTCATCGTATAGGCCCCTAACAAGAGACCCTGCCAGTCTCTAAGCGCTCCTACTGCAGCGGTAGAGCCGACTGCCATTACACAAGACACGACAACACTGATTTTACTTGAAAAATGTTGTTTGGTTTATCTTTTCAAACTGTTACTATTTTCCTCACTTCCAATCTACTGTAGGCTAAGACTACGGTGCCGCTCTAAAACCTGCGTTACTGGTGACCCTGCTTCTTATTGGTACACTTGGCTATGACATAGCACTCGCTGCATTCATCAATTCCCAATCCAGATAGCCCATTTTAACTGGATGAACCTACCTTTCCCAAACTAACGGAAAATCGAAAACCACTTCCATCCTACTAGGAGTGGGCATTGGTTCGGTTCGGTTTAAACGAAACTGAACTAAGCATACCGGTACCCTAGTATAACTCAAAGCTGAACTGAAATTTATTTCGGTTCGGTCTGGCCGAACTGAAATATATTTTGGTTCGGAACTTCATCTTCTCATTGAAAACCCACAACCACAAAAATCTAAACCCAATCTTTCTTCTCCCCTATCCCACCTACTCTTCTCCCTTCTCCCATCCCCCAGCAGCATCAGAGTTCAACTTCGCCCAGAAGCAGTCGCCGGTCGCAGTCCCCATCCCAGAGGAAGCATCACCGCCATGGCCGCCTCCTCGAGAAACTTTCTTCTGAACCGTCAGATCCGACGCTGGCGAAAGTATAAATCATGCTTCGCTCCCTCCGTCGCCCGGTCGCGCTTAGCTCCCTCCGCCGCCGTGGTCGCGCTCAGCTTCCCCCACCGTTGTTGTCGTCCTCAGCTTCCCCCGCCGTCGTGGTCGTCCTCTCCCACCACAACCCTTCCACTTCCCGTCGCCTGCATGTGGATGTCGACGGCGCGATTGGATTGAAGGGGATGCATGATTTGAAATATTGGGTGTGGGATGGGAGGTGATTTTGTTGGAGACGAGCTGTTTCCTCCAGAATCTCCACCCAATCTGCCAAGTCTCCTCTAGTCTCCTTTCTCTGCCGGCGGCGGCGATTGCCAGTGGCGCATCCAGAAATTTTTTACAGGGGTGTCCTTTCCCAAAAATTAAATTAAATTAAAAATTTAAATTAAATAATTCATAAATTAAAAAATATTTGTCTAGTACAAATTTTCACAAAAGGTCACACCGTGTTTTTATATTCTAAAAATAGAATATAAAATAGACTCTGTTCTCTACACTGCTCAACAAATCTGCTACTAGACAATAATTCATGAACAGATCACATATTTGATTTCTAACCTTATTCTTAATGTAACTCAAAGTTGAAAAGACTCTTTCATCACTTGCCTTGTATACATAAAATCAATTCAAATTGAGGATAGCCTATAATTAGTTTAATTATTAGGTTTTGAAATAGTTGGAAATATGTTTACAATTAACACTTGCTGTATAGCACTTTTTATATTACATATATATAGTGTTTAAAATTAAACAACAAATGAGTTGCAACCTCATTGAGAATATGTTTAATAATAAGTGTCCTAGGTTTAAATAACACATACTACCGCATATATTTTTTTTAATATACAAACTACTAACAAAGGTGTGATAATCGTTTTTTCAAATTTTAGAGGTGTCCCGAATTACTAATTATATTTTTTTTATCCATACGAAACTACAACTGGGGGTTGAATAATAGTTCTCCCAAATTTTAGGGGTGTCCCGAGACATCCCTAAAGTTACATGTATCCGCCACTGGCGATTGCTGCATGTGAGTGATATGATTGAGAGTGGTTAGTGGTGAGGTTTGGTCTGGGCTAGGGTTCCACTAACAAATCTAGAGAGGGAGGGCTTGGGCCTTGGGGTTGTGGGCTCTGGTAGTGGGATGTGAGTGTGTGAGATTGGGCTTTGGGTTGTGGGCTATGAGTGTGAGAGATGGGGATGTTCGGTTGCTCGGTTCGGAATCGGAAACTCAGATTTTGTTGGCCAGACCCTGGTTTCCGAAATATAGGTTTTTGGGTTAATAGCATTTTATACCCTTCTACTATTGCAAGTTAACAAACATACCCCTATACTATTTTTTTGCACAAATATGCCCTTCTATTATCGAAATGTAACAACAATATCCATCTGTCAAATATGCCGTTAACTAACCGTTAAATGTGACGTAAAATGACTAATTTGCCCTCATTATAATTTTGGTTTAATTTTTATAATTTTAAAAGTAAATCCGTAATTCTTATCCTTCCCTTTGACTATTGAGCATCTCCTCTTCTTCATTCACCCCGCTCACCGTCGTTGACTCGACTCTACTGTCACTCCAGGAATTGGCCAAGTGAAACCACTTCCTAAAGCGTAGTATAGCGGGTTTGGGTTTAATTATCAACCCGGGTCCTAGATTTGATGACTACTCAGTGAATTCTTGTTATCTAGCAATGAAACTGGAATGCAAGTCTAAACTATCAAACTAACAAAGCAAGTAAACGGTTGTATTCAGGTTAAAGAGGTCACCCGGATATGGTTCCCCCTAGACTGCAGTTAAGCCGGATTGTAATTACCAAGTTCAGTTTCTATGAAAGTTATATTGCGGAAGGTTCTTAAACAGCCTGAAGTCTCGACTAAAGGTCTTCAGACCCTCTCAATCTGACTCTCTAGCGGGCGACTAACCTCCACCGGAGTCGACAGATTGAGGCCCTAAGAACAAAACCTCCACTACCGGAGTAAATCCGGTAAAGAATAGTGAGTTGGCTCCTCGACTAAAGTCACCAACTCCTTACCTTCAATCAAGGATACTCTATTAACCTAGCCAGATATTCTCATTCTAGGTTAAAGCAGAAACAACAGGAATTTGATCAGGATTCAAGTCATTCAATCATTAAAACCTCAATCGAATATAATCAATCATAGAATCAGTACTTGGGTTCATACAATCAAAGCCTAACATACAAATCTAGGGTTCTCCATACCCAGATGAATGGGAGAACTACTCCATAGAGAAGAAAGCAAAAGCAGAATCAGACACGGAATTCATACTGCGAAGGATGGATTCCTGCTTCTGGACGTTGATTGGCACTTCTCCAAGCTCAAGCTGGCCTCCAATGGTGTTGAAGATCAATCTAGAGCACTTGGGAACTCTTGCTCGTCACTTTCTCTCTCTAGGAATCGTTCTCTCTCTCAAAAAATCGAATTCCCTTGAATTGTGGCTGAAACTCTGCTTAAAAGCATCAGTGGCCAAAGCACGGTCGAGGGCACGGCCGTGCTTTGCCTGACTCCGCCCGTGTCTCGGCCAGGGCTTAATTACACGGCCAGCAAGTGGGTTAAACACGGCCGTGCTTCGCGTTGGACACGGCCGTGCTTTGGTGGAACACGGCCGTGCTTCGGTGCCCGTGTTTGCAGCTGAATTGGCCAAACTGAATTTGCTCTCGGCATAAAAAGCACGGCCAGCAGTACACGGCCGTGTAATGCCTTGGTTCTGCCCGTGTTTTGGCTCCAGCTCACCGAAATGACTTCTGAATGCCCCGAAACTCGCGGTTAGCCTTCCCTTTAACGCCTGGGACCTGAAACATGACAAAATAGCACAACCCGGCGTAAAATAGGCCAAAACACACGACTATACTCCTCAAACGGATAAGAACTAGGGGCGCAAACATGTGCATTTACATCGTTATCAAATTCCCCCACACTTAACCGTTTGCTTGTCCCCAAGCAAACCTAACTCAAACCAATGCAACTCTCCAGACCTCTATAGAAACAAACAACCCAGATCGTAGGTAGAGGACTTCCTAGATCATTTAGCAACTTACGAGGTCAACCGACGCACAAGTCATCTCATAGCTTCCTCGGCGAGTCGGCATCATGGCAAACAGTGAACTGAGGACAAATGAATCGTGGATGAAGAGATTCTCAAAAACAAAGGATCATGGACTCACATTTTTCAAGGTGCTCGATTTTCTTTGAAGATGGTTGGAACCCCTTTTTTTCTGTTTTGCTTGTTTTCTGTTATTTTTCTTTTCTTTTCTTTTCAAGGGTCCCAACCTGCTCTTACCGGCCATGCCAGGAGCGGATGTCTCGAGCCTCGTGCGGGGGAAAGACATGTAAGGGGGCTGGAGGTAGTAGGTGGAAATTGGGAACGGATTCCCGTCTCCCCTTACACACTTTCGCCCTATTCGCACGGGAGACGTTTATTTTGAAGCACATTTTCGAGCACCTGTTATTTTCAAAACATGACACAAGAGTCCATGACAGGCAGAGAATCCACAACACCACCCAATTCAAGGGTCATAAGATCACTAATTCACTCAATCAACCAACTCAATATGAAGAAGAAATGAGACTTCTTAAATGCATCAACATCCTCCATAGTGCTACACTACCTCCCTAGGTTGCATATTACTATAAAGACTGTCAATTCAAAGCATACTGAGCAGGCAATTGCATGGAAACACGTACTTGGAGCCCTCAAATTTAAAAATTTGGACAGTGGACTAGGCTCCAAGCACACAAACAGATCTAATGCAGTCAAAAGATAAACACCCCCCCACACTTAAGATCGACATTGCCCTCAATGGAGAAGAGGGAAGGGATAGGGAAAGATGTTACCGGTATGCACGGACTGCAGGGGACTGGAAACGGGCCAGTCGGGGCAAGCACAGCCAAAGGGGAACAGAAAAGCTCAACACAATATGTTAGGTTCAATGGTCAGCCCAATAAAATATCATCCAAACCAAAAGAAAACAAACCAAACCCAAACCGGGTTACAATCCGACTCAAAACACAAGAAAGAAAACCAAACCGTGGTGGGGTTGCCTCCCCACAAGCGCTTCTTTACCGTCGTATTAGCTGGACGCCCATGGTGGATACTCAGGGCGGTGCAGGAACAGGTGCCTCCAAGAGCGGATCCACGTCGCTCTTGAGGTACAGCTTCAGGTTGTGGCCATGCACCCGACGGATGCGACCACCCTCATCAGTCAGCTCGACCTGCCCATCTGGCAAGATGCAGGAGAGCGAGTACCCAGATGGCCAGGGTGGTCGTGGTGCAGGAGGTGGGACCAGCTCATAGTGGTCTCCACTCTTCTTCCGTGCAGGCTTAGCAACCTGCTGCTTCGGCCGCCACTCCTCCTTGAGCTTTTTGTTCGGAGGCGTGGCTGGATGGAGTGGCGGCGAAGGAATGATAGGAGGGTCCTGCAAAATAGGAGGTACAGAAGGATACACGACAGGCTCGTGTACCTGATCAGACATAGCATGCACAGGCGTGACATCAATCATAGCACAGTGATCAAACTCAGTCACAGAAAAAGTAGCCTGTTCATCCCCAGCACGCAGTATCAGTTTACCATCATGCACATCAATAAGTGCCTTGGCGGTGGCAAGAAATGGCCTACCTAGAATCAAAGGCACATCCACATCCTCATTTACATCCAGAATAACAAAATCAACAGGATATGTGAATGCACCAACATGAACAAGCAGATCCTCTATGATTCCCCTAGGATGCACAATAGAACGATCAGCTAATTGAATGCTCATCCTAGTAGGGCTAAGTTCACCTAGGTCTAGCATTTTATACAACTTATATGGCATGACGTTAATGCTAGCGCCTAGGTCCGCCAAGGACTTTCCTACATGCATGCTGCCAATAGTAAGAGGGATAGTAAAACTCCCTGGATCCTTGCGCTTCTCGGGCAGCTTGTTCTGCAGGATAGCAGAACACTCCTCGCTCAGCATCACTGTCGAGAGATCCCCAAGTTTCTTCTTGTTGGTGCAGATATCTTTCATGAACTTGGCATACTTGGGCATCTTCGACAGTGCCTCCATGAACGGTATGCCGATGTTGAGCTGCTTCAACATTGCCATGAACTTGGCAAACTCAGTCTCCAGCTTGTCCTTGTGTAGGCGAGTGGGGAAGGGAAGCTGGGGTACATGCTCCTTAACCACTGGTTGTGGCTTGTCAGCAGGGGCTTCCTTCTCCACCCGCACTTTTGCATCGTCGGCTGGAAGTGCTGAAGCAGGTAGTGGTTCCTCCTGTCTGGCCGGGACAGGATCAGCAGATATGACCTTACCGCTCCTGGTAAAAATGGCATCCAGCTGCTGATGCTGGTGAGGATCTCGAGGATTAGGAACAGTGGTGGCAGGTAGAGTCCCCGGTGCCCTGGTAGTGTTTTGGCGGGCCAAGATGCCCACCTGGGTCTGCAGATCCTGCAAAATGGCACCCTGGTTCCGCTGACCTGCCTCCAGTGATGTGATAGCAGCCTGGGTGCTAGTCATGAATGCAGCTAGAATGTTTTCCAGCTTCGTCATCCTGTCATCTGGGGCCGGAGCTGCTGCTGGCTCGGCAAACTGGCGCTGGGGCTGCTGGAATGGCTGCCCCTGCCTGGGCTGGTAGGACTGCTGCTGTGGGTCTGGCCCCTGGCGAGCCTGGAAGGGCTGCCTCTGCTGAAAACCACCTGCTGGTGCTGGGAAACCAGGTGGTTTAGTGGTGTTGCTACTCCAGGCGAAGTTGGGATGCTAGCGCCACCCCTCATTATATGTGCTGCTGTATGGATCGAGGCGCCTCGCATTGGCGATGAAGGCCAACTGCTCCTGGGGTGTGGTAGACTCCCTCATAGCCTGGCAGTCCTCCACTAGGTGACTGGAGCTCTCACACCACTGACATTGAGCTACTGGAGGTGTAGCCAAACCTCTACCCGGAATCAGACTGTTGGGCTGCTTCAATGTCTGCACTAGCTCCGCTACCTGCTGCTCGAGCCCGGATCTGGTCTCCATGGCGTGCACACCACGGTCACGGGACTGTCTGCCTCGGCTACCCTGTCCCCAAGAATGATCTCTGGCAGCCAAAGTACTGATCATTTGGTTCAGCTCGGGTGGAGTCTTAGTGAGAATATCTCCTCCTGGGCATAGAGACTCAATCACCCTCTGGCTATCTGGAGAAAGGGCACTGTAGAAGTTCCCCACTGTGAATGCATCGCTGAAGCCATGATGGGGGCACTGCCAGAAATAGCCCATGTACCGCTCCCAAGCATCACGAAGTGACTCATCTGGCTCCTGGCGGAAGTGAGTGATCTCCCGCTGAATCTCTGTAGTCTTCGATGCCGGATAATACCTGTGCACGAACTTGTCCGCCAGATCGTCCCAAGAGGTGATGGACAATGGGGGCTGGGTCTCCAACCACCTCTTAGCATTCCCCGCCAGAGAATGGGGGAAGAGATGAAGGCGGATCGCATCATCGGGGACACCATTCAGCTTGAACCCGTTCGTCAGCTGCAGAAAACGGGAAAGATGCACCCTGGCCTCCTCATTCTTCAAGCCATGGAACTGGATAGAAGATGTAATGAGCTGAATCCAACATGGCTTGATCTCGAAGTTGTTTGCTGGGATAGGCGGGTAGAGGATGACCGGGCGGATGTCAGCAATCCGCGGAGTGTAGTAGTACTCCAAGGTGGGGCCCGGCTGCGGGGGATGATGAACTCCATGGTCCTGGGGTATGGGGTTGTTCCCCAGGACCTGATTCACCGGGGGAGCCTGCTGAGGATTCCCCTGGTGTTGGTTGTAGTCTCCGTCCATCCCGTGCTCTTCTTCAGAATCGCTGCTCAGGTGGCCGTCTATGCGCTCTTCCGTAGCCAGTCTAGCTCGCTGTTGTCTCCTGAGCTGGCGACAGGTGCGGTCAATCTCTGGATTCAATGGCAGTAAACCTCCCGACTGGCTACGGGTCATGCACTACCTGCACACACTCAAGCAGACAAACCCGTGAAGGCACAAGTGGGACAAAGCAAAAAGAAAAGCTAAATTAACAGAAATCACTTTTCTTCAACAACCTAGCCGTCCCCGGCAACGGCGCCAAAAACTTGACTCGACTCTACTGTCACTCCAGGAATTGGCCAAGTGAAACCACTTCCTAAAGCGTAGTATAGCGGGTTTGGGTTTAATTATCAACCCGGGTCCTAGATTTGATGACTACACAGTGAATTCTTGTTATCTAGCAATGAAACTGGAATGCAAGTCTAAACTTTCAAACTAACAAAGCAAGTAAACGGTTGTATTCAGGTTAAAGAGGTCACCAGGATATGGTTCCCCCTAGACTGCAGTTAAGCCGGATTGTAATTACCAAGTTCAGTTTCTATGAAAGTTATACTGCGGAAGGTTCTTAAACAGCCTGAAGCCTCGACTAAAGGTCTTCAGACCCTCTCAATCTGACTCTCTAGCGGGCGACTAACCTCCACCGGAGTCGACAGATTGAGGCCCTAAGAACAAAACCTCCACTACCGGAGTAAATCCGGTACAGAATAGTGAGTTGGCTCCTCGACTAAAGTCACCAACTCCCTACCTTCAATCAAGGATACTCTATTAACCTAGCCAGATATTCTCATTCTAGGTTAAAGCAGAAACAACAGGAATTTGATCAGGATTCAAGTCATTCAATCATTAAAACCTCAATCGAATATAATCAATCATAGAATCAGTACTTGGGTTCATACAATTGAAGCCTAACATACAAATCTAGGGTTCTCCATACCCAGATGAATGGGAGAACTACTCCATAGAGAAGAAAGCAAAAGCAGAATCAGACACGGAATTCATACTGCGAAGGATGGATTCCTGCTTCTGGACGTTGATTGGCACTTCTCCAAGCTCAAGCTGGCCTCCAATGGTGTTGAAGATCAATCTAGGGCACTTGGGAACTCTTGCTCGTCACTTTCTCTCTCTAGGAATCGTTCTCTCTCTCAAAAACTCGAATTCCCTTGAATTGTGGCTGAAACTCTGCTTAAAAAAGCATCAGTGGCCAAAGCACGGTCGAGGGCACGGCCGTGCTTTGCCTGACTCCGCCCGTGTCTCGGCCAGGGCTTAATTACACGGCCAGCAAGTGGGTTAAACACGGCCGTGCTTCGCGTTGGACACGGCCGTGCTTTGGTGGAACACGGCCGTGCTTCGGTGCCCGTGTTTGCAGCTGAATTGGCCAAACTGAATTTGCTCTCGGCATAAAAAGCACGGCCAGCAGTACACGGCCGTGTAATGCCTTGGTTCTGCCCGTGTTTTGGCTCCAGCTCACCGAAATGACTTCCGAATGCCCCGAAACTCACGGTTAGCCTTCCCTTTAACGCCTGGGACCTGAAACATGACAAAATAGCACAACCCGGCGTAAAATAGGCCAAAACACACGACTATACTCCTCAAACGGATAAGAACTAGGGGCGCAAACATGTGCATTTACATCGTTATCAGTCGTTCATCATCAGCTTCGACGACACCGACCCCAACTAATCCTTTTCACCAGCTTTCCTTCCGACGCCGCTACTCCACTGGCACTCAATTGTTCCTCGGCGGAGGTAGGAGCAGACTTCGGCGGGTGTCAACAATGAGCACAAACCAGTTCCAGATTTCAAGGTCGGAGATTTCGGTGGGTGGTAATGACTAATGACTGTACCAGATTCTACCTGCTCCGCTAATTGCCTCTCCAATCAGGCGGAGAGAAATCCTTCTTCTCCGACCCATCTTCTCGGCCGCGAACCCAAATTCCATTTTGAAAACCCTAATTCTTGTGAACTTAGAAATTGCATTAAATGATAATCACTTTCAATATATTTGTGCCTTCGATTCCTTGGTCCCATGAGAATTTCCAAAGATGCTAATGAATCGGCGGTGGGTTGAGTTTTGTGAAGAGGAAGGAAATTTGTGGTTGGGGTACTTCTATATGCTCTAAGATTTGTGTGACAGATGATGTTGTTAAGTGATGATTGGTTTGGGCGGGGGTTAATTGTGTAGTTAATGATGTAGTGAGGCCCTATTGTTCTTAAGCCCATACGTTGTACCCATGCAAGCCATGCACTAGGCTAGACGTACGAGTGATGAGTCTAACCTAGAGGTCTCGATGTATGTATAGGGTGAAGAGGGTTTCTGCCGCCATCATTCATCATTGACTCATATCAGTAAAATCAGTAGCCTGAAGAGCATTCTAAGCTCTTCCGTGGATTAGTCCTGGTTATCCAGGGATACCACGTAAACACATGTGTCTGTGTTCTGTTCTGTTCATCTTTCAATCTATTTCTGGTTTGGTAACATGGTATCAGAGCTTACCACAGCTGATTCAGAGAGGCCTACGGTTCGCCTCACGTCGACGAACTATGCACTCTGGGAATTTCAATTCCGAGTGTTTATGGAAGGAAAAGTGTTACTAGGGATCTTGGATGGAATGATCCCTCAACCGAATGCCGCAACCACTGCAGCCCAGGAGAGGGAAGCTTGGAATCAAAATGACGCAAGAATAAGGAGCTAGCTGCTTTCATGCGTGGATCCTTCAACGTGCCTTAGCCTCCGATTGTTCCCCACCGCGAATCGGAAGTGGAGGTATCTCGCTGGTCTTTACTCAACCGTCAATGCAGCCCGACAGTTCAAGGTCCAAACAACCCTTGCTCTGCTGGAGCAGGGCGATCGCTGAGTCACGGAGTACTTCAACGCCGCCCAAGAGCTGTTGACGAAGCATGACTTGCTCCATGCGGCGCTGCGCCCTCAAGCAGAATTGACGGCGGACATGATCACTGAACGACAGCAAACCCGTGTCCTACAGTTTCTTATGAGACTCAGGCCAGAATTCGAATCCATTCGATCCACGATCCTGAATCGTGAGCAGCTGAACTTTGATGGAGTTATTAGTATTCTTATTCGGGAAGAAACCCGACTGAGAACTCAAGCGCAGTTTGATACGCGCCCAGGAGAAGGTGAAACTATCTTGGCAGCCATAGCGGCCTCGGCAAGATCAGGTATTGGCCGAGACTCACAAGTTTTTGCTGTTTCTAGACCACAGTTTAATAGTCGAGTGCCCAATGCGGAGCTCGAGTGTCACCATTGCCATGAGAAAGGTCACCTGGTGAAGCACTGTCGCCGAAGGAACTATTACGTGTACTGCAAGAAGATGGGACACATCGTACTGGAGTGTCGCACCCGGGAAAGAAATGCAGAGCGCTGGGCTGGGAATCAGCCGCCGGTGGGAGCTGGACGCGGCAACTCGGGACGTGGATATCGTCCCGCTCATGTCGTAGGTGAATCGAGTGGAACGACAGCTGATAGTACTACCGCAGCTCAGCTAGAGCAGCTCGTGCAAGCCGTGGCAGCTCTCCAAAGCGCGCTCCCCACTGCCTTTGGTTATGCTCTCTCGGCCCTGCAAGGTAAAATAAAGAGTAAGCCATGGTTAATTGATTCGGGTGTTATAATCACATGACACATGATAAGAGTTCATTGCGTAATATTCATTCAATTAATCATGCTGGTTTGACAGTAGCTAATGGTGATATTTTGGCAGTGAAGAGTGTTGGTAATGTAGAGATGCCTAAAATTTCATTATCTCATACTCTACATGTACCTTCCTTAGTTCCTAACCTAGTTTCAGTTGGACAACTTACTGAGCAGGGTGTTCTGTGTTGTTTGCTCCTTCTGGATGTATTATACCGGACATGAAGACAGGGAGACAGATCGGAAGGGGGATTAAGCAGGGGAGGATATTCCATTTGGAGGAGCTCCAAGATAATTCAGGGTCATCTACTTCGAGTCTGTCTTCGAGTCTTCAACGTGTGTCTAGGTCTGTCAGTAGTCCTTCTGTTTCTAGTCCTGTGTTTTCTAGTTTGTCAAATAAAGTGTGGGATATTTGGCATGCTTGTTTAGGGAACCCACACTCTGCTCGTCTGTCGGCTATGTTTAAACAATCTCTTCTAGGAAAGGATTGTGTTGGTGTCTCAGCAAAACATTCTTGTACCAGTTGTGTTGAAGCGAAAACTGCTAGTGTTCCTTTTCCTTCTAGCACTACTGTTATAAAAGAGCCTTTTCACCTCGTTCACACTGATATGTGGGGACCTTTTGCTACCATATCTCGCCTTGGTTTTCAATATTTTGCTTTGTTCATAGATCATGCAACCAGATACACCTGGATCTATTTTATTCGACTAAAGTCTGAGCTTCGTTCTGTTGCCATAGAATTTCTTAATATGGTACAATCCAATTTGGTCAAACAGTCAAAATTATTCGATCCGATCTAGGTGGCGAGTTCAGTTAGGGTCCCTTGCATGAGCTTACCCGAGCTCTTCTTCTGGCTTCCTTTGTTCCCAGTCGTTTTTGGCCAGAGGTTGTTGTCACAGCTGTGAGGCTTATCAATTACCAAGTCACTCCTGTTCGGGGTCAAACTAGTCCTTACTATACTTTATATGGTCATCATCCTGATTATTCTCGTCTTAGAGTGTTTGGGTGTATCTGCTTTGTTCTCCTTCCTAAACGTGAACGTATAAAGTTGACTTCTAAAACAGCTCGGTGTGCCTTTTTAGGGTATAGTAGTGTTCATAAAGGATACCTCTGCTACGATCCTTCTGCTCAGGGTATTCGTATAGCTACTACAGTGGTCTTTTTTGAACACCATATGTTCTATTCCTCTGAGTCTGCTCCTGATGTTGAGTTTTTTGGTCCCCGTCGCTCATTGCCCATCTTTGACGAATTTGATGATGATGCGCCATGCTTTGCCGATGATCCTGCCGCTCCACCTTCCTCCCATGATCTGTCTTCCTCTACCTCGAGTGCCTTCAATTCCGATCCTTCTTCAACATCAGCGGGGAGCAGTTCTGCGTCAACCTCAGGAAGCATCTCCTCCAATATTGATCATTCGGCCCCTTCTCCCGGTGGTTCTTCTTCGCCTCCTACCCCACCTCCTCTTCGGCGCTCAGACAGGTCCACGAAAGGAGTCCCTCCTCCTAGGTTCGAGGATTACATGGCCCATGGAGTGGACACACTGATTGTTCCCACTACTTTCAAGCAAGCTAGTGATAACCCCATTTGGGATCGGGCAATGCAGGAGGAATTTGGTGCTCTTGAAGCGAACCGTACATGGACCGTGGTTGATCGGCCGGTTCCTTGTCCGCCATCGATTGGCAGCCGTTGGGTTTATGAAATAAAAGTTCTTCCTGATGGATCTATCGAGCGTAACAAGGCTCGGCTGGTTGCTCTGGGGTATACACAGGAGCATGGGGTGGATTACAATGAAACGTTTGCTCCTGTTTCAAAAATGTCTACTGTTCGAACTTTACTTGCCGTAGCTGCTTTGCATAACAGGCCTCTGTATCAGCTAGACGTGTAGAATGCCTTTCTTCATGGAGATTTAGAGGAATTGATCTACATGGAACGTCCATCCGGTTACACAGTTGGTCGCGAAGATCAAGTTTGTCTGCTGCATCGATTGTTGTATGGTCTCAAACAGGAGCCTAGGGCCTGGTTTGAGAAATTTCAAGCTACCATAGTTCAGCTGGGGTTTAATCAAAGTCTCAATGATCCATCTCTTTTTACAAAGGTTACCTCGGCTGGGATTGTTGTTCTTCTGCTTTATGTGGACGATATGGTTATCACTGGCACTGATTCTCGAGGCATTATGCAACTCAAAGCAGGATTGAAGCAAGCATTCAGCATCAAAGATCTTGGAACTCTCTCATACTTTCTCGGTCTCGAGGTAAACCACAATGAACAAGGGATCTTACTTAGTCAACGAAAGTATATCGCTGATCTTCTCAGTGATCATAACTTTGCTGATTGTAAACCTGTGAAGACACCTATGGAAGTTAATCTCAAACTACAGAAGGATTCCGGTGATCGTCTGAAAGATGGGTCTCAGTACTGCAGTATAGTAGGTAGTCTCATCTACCTCTCAGCTACGCGTCCAGATATCTCCTATGCTGTTCAAGCTGTTAGTCAATTTATGACTGAGCCATGTGTTGATCATCTTGCTGCTGTCCACCGGATTTTGCGCTATCTGCAAGGTACCCTGGATGTTGGGATTTTATTTCCTTCGCATGGTAAGCCCACAATCTCAGCCCTTTCCGATTCAGACTTTGCTGGCTACATAGACAGTCGACGATCCACATCAGGCTGGTGTGTACAATTTGGAGGTGCATACATTTCTTGGTGTTGTAAGAAGCAGGATAAAGTTTCTAAATCATCTACTGAAGCAGAATACCGGGCTATGTCAGAAGTGGGATCAGAAATGGTCTGGCTGCGTCGGCTGTTATCGGATTTTGGTGTTTCCTGTTCTACGCTATGGAGTTGTTTGTCGACAACACAAGCACTATCCGGATTGCAGAGAATCCTGTCCTGCATGATCGCACTAAACACATAGAGATACATGTGCATTACATCCGCGATCTTGTTCCTGATGGTAATATTAGTTTACATCATCCTCGGACTGAGGAGCAGGTTGCAGATCTGTTTACCAAAGCCTTTGCAACAAGTCGGCATTGGTACTTGGGAAACAAATTGATGTTGCAAGATCGACATCAATTTTGGGGAGGATGTTAAGTGATGATTGGTTTGGGCTACGGTTAATTGTGTAGTTAATGATGTAGTGAGGCCCTGTTGTTCTTAAGCCCATACGTTATACCCATGCAAGCCCATGCACTAGGCTAGACGTACGAGTGATGAGTCTAACCTAGGGGTCTCGATGTATGTATAGGGTGAAGGGGGTTTTGGCCGCCATCATTCATCATTGACTCATATCAGTAAAATCAGTAGTCTGAAGAGCATTCTAAGCTCTTCCGTGAACTAGTCCTGGTTATCTAGAGATACCACGTAAACACCTGTGTTTGGGTCCGATTTATGTTCTGTTCATCTTTCAATCTGTTTCTGGTTTGATATAAGATGCACAGATCTGGGTGCTGGGTAAACTTTCGGGCGGGCTTTTGATATGGGACTGACTTGTGGGTTGTTCGGATGACCCGCCGTCTTGTGCTTACTCTGAGTTCCAAGGTGGAGGATGGATGACGACCGCATGCAGCTGAACCTTGGCTCGCCTTTGCCGGAGTGGCCGCTCTTCTGTTGGGATTTAGGGATAAGAAGGTCGGAGACTTTCCCGGAAACAAAGTGATTACTTAGGAATAAATGAATAGTTGTTGTTACTTTTAAAATTATGAAAATCAAATCAAAATTATAACGAGGGCAAATTAGTAATTTTAAATCACATTTAACAGCTAGTTAACAGGAATCTTGACAGAAGGATTTGGTTGTTACGTTTCGATAATAGGTGGGCACATTTGTGCCAAAAAATTGTATAGGGGTATGTTTGTTAACTTGCAATAGTAGAAGGGCATAAAATGCTATTAACCCTAGGTTTTTCGTTTTCGAATTCTGAACCGAATAACAAATCTTCAGTTTCGGTCTGGGTTGGTTCGATTTCGGTCCGGTTCGGTCGGGTTTCCAATTCAATAACAAAATTAAATTCCAGTAGGAGCGACTACCAAACGGACCAATAATCACATTACCTCAATCTCCCTCTCTGGCGGTTCCTCCAAATCACTCCCGGCGACTTGCAAGTCGTCAATCACATCCCCAGTATATATTTAGGGTTTTCGGCACGGAAAGTATGTAGGTGGAGTTTCCAAGCCTCATTGTAAAATATGTGGATGATGTAATTGAAGACGCCAGGCGAATTCTACGAGTTAGGCGAACAGGCCGTACACATATTGATATGTCTGGAGTTTATGACAAGGGTTTGTCAACGGCTAGGAGAAGAAGGGAGGTGTTACAGTCCGCTGCCGATCCGTTCCAACAAGAAGAAGAATTGGGGAAGAGAGGGAGAGGAGAGATCGAAGAAGAGAGAACCGAGAATTCAGAAAGAGTTCTGTTTGGTTCATTATGCCTGCAGCTCTATAGAACTCAGGCCTGGTCGTTACAGGAGGAGGAAGAAGACGCATCCGCCATGGTTCTCAAGTACTGTTTCTGGTATCCATCTCTATCCTATCCCTTATAGCTCTTGATCCTACAAGTTATTCCGGCTTGCTCGTTTTGATTTGGATTCTCGCTAGATCGTTTGGATTGAATATGAATTCCCGGTAGCTCATTTTGATTGAATTTGAAAGTGAATATGCTAGCTCGTTTTGATTGAAATTGAATTCCTGTAGCTCGTTTGATTGAATTTGAAAGTAAAGATCGATACTTTGTTTGGGAGCGGGAGTTGGTGGGTGCTGCCATATTGTCTATGTGGGAACCCCTCCTGCTGAACATACTTTCCCTTCTTTAACCCGTAATTGGGAGCTTGTTTGTTCGTAATTCTGGTTGTGTTACCTGGGAAGAAACAGGTAGGATCTAAACTTCTGATGTGTTGGTTTTTTTTCATTGGTATTACTCTCGGACAATTTTATTTAGCTTAGAACTTGGCATGTGACCCTATTTTCCTGTATTTTGCTTGCTCTAGAGGTTGCATATTTAGGACAAGTAGTAGTTTTTAGCCACTTTTCAAATGTGGAGATATGAAATCTTTACGCAAGTTATATGTTCCGTCAGGTGTTGTAAATAGATACTGGAGTTCCTGAGGCTGATATTCATAAGAAAGCAGTTTTGGTTGAGATCGTAAACAATATTTTATGCTTCTTTGATAGAACAATGTGAGAAGGGAAAGGATCATATTCTTGTACACGGCATGTCAGGAAAGAGTAGGTAAGTTCATTGCTTTAAAAACTTGTTCTTTTTCGTTTTCTCAAGTCTTTTCAGTTATGGTCATATTGATGAGGATGATAATGGGATCAAGTTGTAGGGAGGTTAGGAAGTCAGGGGTAAACCAGCAAGTGCATGAATACGAGCAGAGGCTGCTCTTGTCAGCAGTTAACACCTATCCGGGGAAGTCGGGCTTCCCGCCAGCTAGCTAGCCATCTTTTTAGCATTGGATTCCTGAAAGTTTTGCCCAGCCTCTTTCTTCCAATCCCCGGGCACGATCTTGGAAGTATTCGAGATGGATGTTACTTGTTAGCAGATTTTGAAGAGTGACTGGCGGATGGACACTTGTCTTAGCAATCCAGAGATACCTCCTTTGTTCTCCCTTAAATAACTGTATGATTGTTGCTTCTTGTAAAAAAATGAGCTAGCTTGGAGTTTAAGCTAACGTCATTAAAGGGGGGCAGGATGTTTCAGAATTCCTCTTGTTTGTACTATCTATGCCTAGGTGGACTATTTTCTCTGAGATCATGATGTACATTTCTAGTTTTTCGAAATCATAAGTAGTTTTCAAGTTTACCAAGTGGATGGTAGATATGAACTATTTACGCTTTATTTACAGGGTCGATGAATCTGCAGATGAACAAGTGCTGCAAGTTGCATGATTAGAGTGCCCCGTCACTATAATATGTTAGGGGAGGAGGTCTAAGGTTGAAGAACTTGCTGGGAAGGGAAGGAAATTTTACATTTTTCTGTACATTTTTTAACAAGAATTGTGAAAATAAATCTCTTTGATTCTCATAGATGATGATTAAGATAAATTGTTGTCACTCTGAATCTAATATACTGTGCTGAAAAAACCTATTACGATAATCAATTCTCAATTATCTACTAGATTCCAATGTAATTGTACAGAGAAAGATAATGACAGATTGACAGAACAATGGATTGATTATAATGGATCAATGGAATTGTCTGCAGCTGCAACTTTTATGCCTTTTGAAGCTTGTTTGGCTTCGTTCGTTCCATTCCACTATGATCGTTGTTGTCTCCCCTATATTAAAAAATCCCCGATTCCAGCACTGGTTGTAGGTAAGTAGTGGACTGGTTCTGTCCCGAAATCGGACCATTCTACAGAGTTTCTTATACAGCCTTATATCATCTTGTTAGTATTGGAAGAGTTATCCAGCCGAAGATTAGGATTAAAGGTAGACACCATACATCATAACAAACTGTCTTCGAATTCTGCTTCATCAACAGGGAGGGTGCAGAGTGGTAGAGGGAGGGAGATTCACTTTCTTTGCCATGGGATCGTCGGTATCGGCAGACTTCTTCGACGCGTACAGAGGGCCGCTTGGGACCAGGGATTCGTGTTTTGTTTTACACAATCAATGGAGAATGCAGTGAAGGTATGGAGATTAAATCGTGTTCACTAAGTGTTGTAAGTAAATCCTCATGTAGATTGAGCTTGCTTATGGTTTTTTATACTGTTGAACTTTGGGCCTGATTTGTAATAATGTGGGCATGTTCGTTATTTCTTTTTGGGTTGTTTGTTTGGATTCGAGATCCATTATTAAGAGATTGGGTGAACCGAGATGAGAGAAAAATAGTAATGATTGTTGTGTTTAGAGTTTGATATTTATATCTGATAGAGAGAATTGTTGTTGTTAGTCAAATATGATACATGTAAGTTATTTATAAAATAGTATTTTATTTTATCTATAAATTAATGGTACGTTTAATAGTAGTATAATATATTAATTAATTAATTGAAAATAAATTAATATACATATAATAGTTAAGGTAGCAATTCAGATAATTAAATATGAATATCAAATATTGTATACGTATTTTATACGTGTTAAGTACGTGAGTAATCAAATGAATGGAAAAAATGAAACGATTTGACACTAATACGGATATGAATGTTTTAAAAAGATAAAATACGTACAACTACAACCATATATAAATGTATTAACTGGAGTATTTACAAAAAAGAGATAATCACCTAGTAGAATTGAGACGGTTGCCGACAAACTTCAATTCGATAAACATAAATATATGAAGGTATTGCCATAATTTTTTGATCATATGTGTTAGAGGATCAGGCCCACTTTTTCTCTTTTGTATACAGCCCATTTATTGTACCCATGAAGCCCATGCAAGGGCAGCTCGTGTAACGTGGAGAGAGTGGCCCTAGGGTTTCGTTTTCCTTGCTGTATATAGAGAGAATGGTGGCTGTGAGTTATGTACAGAAAACCTAAACAATAAGATCAGTAGCTTGAAGAGTTTTCACTCTTCCGTGGATTAGTCCTGGATTCTCCAGGGATACCACGTAAACCCGGTGTCTAGTTCTTGTTTTCCTTTTCATTCTCGTTCAGTTCGTCAACATCAAATCCGGATAATCTATCATGGTATCAGAGCATACTTCGTCAATGGATTCTGATAGACCTTTGGTTCGGCTCACTTCCACGAACTTCGCTCTCTGGGAATTTCAATTTCGGGTCTTCGTTGAAGGACGCGGCCTCCTGAGCTTTCTCGATGGCACATGCCCTCGTCCACTACCTACTGCCGCGATTCAGGAGCAAGCGCAGTGGAACCAAAGTGACGCGCGCGTCCGTCACTGGTTGCTGGGATCAGTTGATCCATCAACATGTCTGAGTCTAAGACTTTTTCCCACAGCCCATGAAATGTGGCAGCACCTGGCATCGACGTATTCAACTGTCAATGTAGCAAGGCAGTTTGAGATTCAGATGGCATTGGCTCGGCTGGAGCAAGGGGATCGCATGATCACTGAATACTATAACAATGCGACGGAATTGTGGACGGAACAGGACATTCTCACCGCCGCATTGCATCCCCAGCCTGTCTCCGCCGACGCGATCAAGGAGCGGCAGCAAAACTCGCCTGCTCAACTTCCTCATGCGCCTTCGACCTGAGTTCGAGGCTGCGCGCTCTACCTTGCTGAACAGAGACGACTTGCGGTTTGAGGGATTGCTTTCCCATTTGGTTCGTGAAGAAATCAGGATTCGTACCCAGGCGAATATTGATGTTCGCCCTAGTGCTGGAGAAACCATATTTGCCGTGGCTGGCCAGGAATCGGCATATTCGGTAAATCGTCCCTCATTCAATAACAAACCTATGTCGAATGATATTGAGTGCCATTTTTGTCATGAACGGGGACATCCTAAGAAGCATTGCCGGCAGTGGAATGTGTGCGTGTACTGTAAACGAGCTGGGCATATTATTCTTGAATGCCGAACTCGGCAGCGGAACGAAGCTCGCGCTGCAGGGGGAGGACTTGATTCTTCCTCGAGGCCTGAACGTGCAGGTGGCGGGCCAGCTGGAAGGTTCTTCAATCCTCGCACGTCTCGTCCACCACCTGGAGACCGCACGGCACATGCAACCGCTTTGGCACCTGGAAATGGACAGCAAGATATCGGCAGCAGCAGTGGTGGTAGCGTCTCGGCCACTGATATTGAGAACATGGTAAATGCTGCTTTGCAAAGGTCATTACCCACAGCTATTAGTGCTGCCTTTGCTACACTGAATAACTCAGGTAATACTTCTCCCTGGCTACTCGATTCTGCATGTTTTAACCATATGACGAATGCATCACGGATCTTGAACAATGTTACACCTGTTAAAGACATGTCGTTGAGTGTAGCGAATGGTGGTAAATTGGAGGTTCAAGGAGTTGGGTTGATGCGTAAACAAAATATGACCTTGCCTAGTACTTTATACGTTCCTGGTTTAGTTCCAAATTTGGTGTCAGTTGGGCAACTTACTGAACAGGGTTGCTCTGTTTTGTTTGCACCGTCAGGATGTGTTATACAGGATTTGAAGACGGGGAGGCAGATCGGAAAAGGGAGTAAGCAGGGGAGAGTGTTTCACCTAGACGAGCTACGTGGGAGTTCAGTGTCGTCTTCAGCTTTTAGATCATGTGTCAGTAGTCCACCTTTGAATTCTTTGTCATTGTCAAAACCTATTTCTTGTGATTCGGCTGGGTCTTTGTCTTTTTCAACATTGTCGAATAATGCCTGGGATCTTTGGCACTCTAGACTAGGTCATCCTCATTCTGGTGGTCTTGAAATGATGTTCCGACAATCTTTGCTTGGTAAAAATCATGTTAATCCTTCTGCTTCTCATTCCTGTACTAGTTGTGTTGAAGCAAAAACGGTGAACATTTCTTATCCGTCTAGTACAACAGTAATCACTGATCCATTTCATATCATACATACCGATCTCTGGGGACCATCTCCTACCATTTCTCGTCGTGGCTATCGATACTTCGCTCTTTTCATTGATCATGCCACTCGTTTTACTTGGGTTTACTTCCTCCGTCTTAAATCAGAACTCAAATCTGTTGCTACTGATTTTTTGAAAATGATCCAAACCCAGTTTGATCGTCCTGTCAAAATTATCCGTTCTGATCCCGGTGGTGAATTTAGTTCTGCTCCGTTGTACGAAGTTTATCGGTCTCTTGGTGTACTGACTCGGCAATCTTGTCCCGGTATATCTCAGCAGAATGGTCTAGTAGAAAGAAAAAATCGTCATGTCATGGATTTAACTCGTGCCCTTCTGTTAGCGTCTCATGTTCCTAGTAGATTCTGGCCTGAAGCAGTTGCTACTGCAGTTCGTCTCATTAATTACCAAATTACTCCTGTGCTGCGGAATACAAGTCCCTTTTTTGCTCTCTATTCCCGTCATCCTGACTATTCTCGTCTCCGTGTTTTTGGATGCCTGTGCTTTGTTCTTCTTCCAAAGCGCGAACGGACTAAACTCACTTCTAAGACTGCTCGGTGTGTCTTCCTGGGATATAGTGATATACACAAAGGGTACTTGTGTTATGATCCTGTTGTTCAACGTGTTAGAATTGCCAGTACTGTTGTCTTCTTTGAAAATTCCATGTTTTACTCTCCTGGGTCTTCACCATCGGATTTCCTTCCTGCCAATCTTCCTCCTCCCACCTTTGCTGATGACGTTGATGATGACTTTACCCCTGCTATGAATCCACCCGATCCTCCCTCTCCGAATCTGTCTCCCGCTACATCTGATGCTGCCTCTTCATCAACAGCTGCAACTCCTCCATCGCCTATTACTCTCGGCTCCAGTGCTCACTCCTCGGCCAGCTTACATACCACCCTCGACACCAGTGCTTCTTCTAGTGAACCGCATTCCTCTTCGCAACCTACTCAGCCAGCTCCACGCCGTTCAGAAAGAGTAACCAGAGGTGTTCCTCCACCCAAATTCGGTGACTACCTAGCATATGGGGTGGAGTCTATAGTGGTTCCTACTCGCTACCGTCAGGCCAAGGGCCATCCTTTGTGGGAAGCGGCTATGCATCGAGAGCTCGAGGCACTTCATGCGAGTAATACGTGGACTCTTGTTCCTCGTCCGCCTTCTTCTACTTCAGTGGTTGGATGCCGTTGGGTTTACACGGTCAAAATGAAACCAGATGGTACGGTGGATCGATATAAAGCGCGGCTGGTCGCTCAGGGTTATACATAGGAATACGGCATTGATTACAGTGAGACATTTGCACCGGTTGCTAAGATGGCTACAGTTCGTACTTTATTGTCGGTTGCTTCCCTTTGTCAGTGGCCCTTGTATCAGATGGACGTCAAGAACGCTTTTCTTCATGGTGACTTAGACGAGGTAATATACATGGAGCCACCTCCTGGCTATCCGCTTGCTTCTCCTGACCAGGTCTGCCGTCTTAATCGCTCCTTGTACGGTCTCAAACAAGCACCCCGTGCTTGGTTTGAGAAATTTCATACCACTATCTCCGACTTGGGTTTTCAGCAGAGTCGCAATGATCCATCTTTGTTCACTCGCACTACCGCAGCTGGGGTTGTTGCTCTTCTCTTGTACGTCGATGATATGGTGATCACGGGATCTGATCCTGAGGGTATTCAGCGACTTAAGGAGGGTCTCCATGCCTCCTTTAATCTCAAGGATCTCGGCGAGTTATCATATTTCTTAGGCCTGGAAGTTAATCGTGACTCTCGTGGGATTTTGCTCTGTCAGCACAAATATATCACCGATTTATTGGATGATCATCAGTTCACAGACTGTCGACCTGTTTCTACACCTATGGAGCTTAACCTTCACCTTGGTCGTGATTCCGACACTTTATTATCAGACAGTAAGGCTTATAGGAGCATTGTTGGGAGTCTCATTTATTTATCCGCCACCAGACCAGACATTTCCTATGCCGTCCAGGTTGTTAGTCAATTTATGGATGCTCCTCGTTCGGATCATCTAGCAGCGGTTCATCATATTCTGCGGTATCTGCAGGGAACACGGGATGTCGGTATCTTCTTTCCCTCGACTGGTGAACCTAGTCTTCAGGCTTTCTCGGATTCTGACTTTGCTGGGTGTGTTGATACCAGGCGCTCTACCTCTGGCTGGTGTGTTCAGTTTGGTAAGTCATTTATATCCTGGCGTTGTAAGAAGCAGGATAAGGTTTCTAAGTCGTCTACGGAAGCAGAGTATCGTTCCATGTCCGAGCTTTGTTCTGAACTCATTTGGCTTCAACGTCTCCTCCAGGATTTTGATGTGACGTGTTCTCTTCCTCTTAATCTCTTTGTGGACAATACTAGTGCTATCCGTATCGCGGTTAATCCTGTGCTTCATGATCGTACTAAGCATATCGAGATACATGTCCAATATGTTCGGGATTTGGTTAATGCTGGGATTGTTTCACTTCATCATATTCGGACAGAGGATCAGGTTGCTGATTTATTTACAAAGTCATTTACCACCAGTCGTCATTGGTATCTGTCAAGCAAATTGATGCTTACCGACCAGCATCAATTTGGGGGAGGCTGTTAGAGGATCAGGCCCACTTTTTATCTTTTGTGTACAGCCCATTTATTGTACCCATGAAGCCCATGCAAGGGCAGCTCGTGTAACGTGGAGAGAGTGGCCCTAGGGTTTTGTTTTCCTTGTTGTATATAGAGAGAATGGTGGCTGTGAGTTATGTACAGAAAACCTAAACAATAAGATCAGTAGCTTGAAGAGTTTTCACTCTTCCGTGGATTAGTCCTGGATTCTCCAGGGATACCACGTAAACCCGGTGTCTAGTTCTTGTTTTCCTTTTCATTCTCGTTCAGTTCGTCAACATCAAATCCGGATAATCTATCAATATGATGAAGAAGATGAAGAAGATTTCCGAGTGGAAACTGAAAAAACCGATTATTATGACCTGCCCCTGTAAGCTGTAACTCTAAGCTTGCAACGGGAAAATATAAATGCGTACATGCCTACCTGTGTTTTGCGGAAACTGGGGAGTTGAATATGTTTTTATACACTAGCTACTGTTTGTTTAATTTTACTACATGAATCTGTTTGTAATTCAGTTTCCCACAACCTAAGATAGTTTAACGGTAAAGCTGTCGCAATAGTGAAAGTTTGAGAGTTTCAGATCCCAAATTCGAATTCAAGCGAGGATCGTTGGTGTTCCCAGAGGTACAAGGCTGCTGAGAGCGAAACTCCGTTGCCATCAAATTTGATTGTTTCCCACAAAGTTCTAGGTCTATTTTATGGCTAATACTATAGTGCGTAAAAAGTGAGGCAATGATGATGCATTTTCTAATTGGGACATGTGAATATCATGTGGCACTGGTTGATTTTGACAATCCAAGCCCAAACCGTTTGGCCCTAAGCCCTGAGAACTGCGCTTACCGTTAGATGACCAAACGGACGGATAGTTCTTGGTCTCCCACTTTTCCCATTAATTCCAAACAGTAGACTTTAGCCTTTGATTTAATACTCTGTTGCAACTTCGTCCAAAATCACCAAGAGGTAAATGTAAGTTGTTTGCGTGCCGTTTCTAGATTATCTAAATTTGATGAGGAAGGAGGCGCGGAGGTGACCGGAGGTGGGATGTCAGCGGAGAATGAGTAGTTAGAGACTCAACTTGGTGATTTTGAATGGATTTGCAACAGGGTATTGAATCAAAGCATGAAGTCTACCATATGGAATTAATGGGAAGATTGGAAGACGAAGAACTTTTTGTTCGATGGTCACCCTATCGTTAGAGTAGTTCTCATCGACAAAGCTTTGGGCTCGGAATGTATAAAATCACTCAGTGCCACTTCATATATCTGCTATGGATCCTCATTTATGGCCTGATTGCGGAGCATCGCGGTCGCCCTTTCTCACTTCAAAATTAGATCGAAGAAACCATTTCCCTTCCCCTTTCTCACTTCAAAATTAGATCGAAGAAACCATTTCCCTTCCCCTTTTCTGATCCCTCTTTGTTTTTTTTTCCTTCGAATCAAACATAACATCAGAGAGAAAGAGCCACAATAAGAGGAGAACAATCGCATATCAAGAAAAGGTCTCTGATTGAAAGAGGGGAAGGTGATACACAAAGGTATTATCTCTGGTCTCTCCATTCTTTCCGATCTTCTGTCAAATTATTAGAGGGAAGCCAATCATAATATGGAAGCGACCCCAACCACAATTAGATTGAGAATTTTGATTCCTACACGGAATGACAAATCAATATGAACAAAATTAACATGCAAGCAAAGTTCATATTCCTTATGTACGGTCTCTATCATTCTTAAATCACCACTCAAAAGTCATAACTTTCTTCTCTCGGGCTCATGGATAATAAGAAGCACATTGAACTGCCATTGCGTTCCAATACTATAAGTTTCCACTGAAATCTCTTAAAGAGACTATGTTACCGAACTTCCACAACCTTCAAAAGTCATAAAGAATCTTAATCTTAGTAGGATATTATTGTGACTATGTTGCAAAACTTGCCATTGCTTCTCGCCGATATCAAAAGCATAACAAAACAAACCCGCAACAGTCACATCGCAACTTCCCTCTTGCTTCATGCCAATGTCAGAAGCACGACCGCCGACCTTGCGTCGCAAGCCCCCTTTTGTTGCGGTCGTCATCGAAAAACGTTTGGCGTTGCTGAAAGAGAATGGAGGGATGGGTGGGTTTTTAGAGAGAGTGTGTGAGGGAAAGGGGAGGCCGAGCGGAAGTTTCACAAAAAGGGGGTGTTGCTATAATGAAGGGTGGGATTGAATATATACTAGGATTTGGGTTAATGATTATTGTTTTACCAAACTACTAGTCCATGGGGTTCTTCTTGGTCGAGTGAAAGAGAGAATAAGGGTTTTGGTTCGGCGGTGGACAAGTTGCAATCGGAGGGAGGGAGAAGGTTTTACGTTGGCTAAAATTGATATATTATGCTGGGTAAAAGGGAAGAGTGTTGAGGATATTAATTATTTAGTCAAAAATAATTAATTCATTGTGCTCCAAATCCCTTGTTTCCTTGTACTTGTCAAAGAAGGAAACTTGGTTGTGATTAGAGTTTTAACCCTACGTCTATATAAGCTTAGCTACGGAGATTGTCGTAAGCATGTCATCAAGATGTAGTCATATAATAAAATCGCCAGTCATGAGCTCTTCCCAGCTCATCGTGGATTAGTCTCGATCAATCGATCGAGGATACCACGTAAAATCGTTTGTCTTGTGTTCTTTTCCTTCCGCAATATCAAATTCTTCATGGTATCAGAGCTGGTTTGTCGTCGAGGTCACGTGTTCAAGTCCTCACGACCCCCAATATTAACCGTTGTCTTTCAAGCACATGGTATGGCGGGTCTGTGCAAACATTTAGCCCATGAGTTGGCTTTCGTTTGAGCGGGCGTGTAAGGAATTAGTTAAGTATCATACATGGGTCTGTATAAGATTCAACATAACCTTCTCCCAACAACTCGAGTTATTGGGAGCAACTGGTTTATGACAAAGAGTAAGAAGATGGAGGGCGAGAGGGGAGTATGGACCTTTTTTTTATTTTTTATTAAATACTTTTAATCTAAAATATGATGTGTCACCCACGTTTTCATTGAGGCTAGTTGTCGATCACGTGTATGATGAGTTGTCATCCCAGTAATCACACCGTTAAGATAACTGATGGTGTCTCTGACGTCGCTAAATTTAATAACGAAAATGGCTATATTTGTCATGCAACATTCAAATTTCTAGTTATTTTCTACATTTCTTGAAAAGTGACTATTATTGTCACACAGAAAATTTTAGCTATATAAATGTATTTTACCTTAGTAACGTCAAACATGTTCAAAATAATATTAAATAATTACCGTAAGAAGGAACTCGGATTGTGTATTTAGTTGGATAGGTGGCGTTGTAGTTGAATACCTACCATTCTTTTTTTTTTTTTTTACGAAAAATACATACCATTCAACACCGAGTAAAATGAAAGTCCTCGATCGATCGGTTTCCTTAATTTCCTTTCTTCATCGCATTTTTCTAGATTATCAACTACCTAATCATTAGGACAGCTTTGGTTGACGTCCAAAGCATTAAGAATATTATTAGCAAATGAGATTACCCCTAAACATACGTAAACGAAGCCATTGATAGACAAAGACAGACTTTCTGACCTACATTTAGGTGGATGAAACTGTGGACCAAGCAAAACCCCCTAAAAGGCAAGTCCACCGTTTAATTTTATTACAAATCAAACCTTCTAATTTGCCAAGCAATTTCGATTTTTACTTTCTGTTTTTGTAGAGCAGGAGCCGAAAGAAGCTTCCTTTGGTGGATCGATGGGAAAGAAAGGAGAGCGGATCTAATCAGTAACCTATAAGTAAATAACTATGTATAACTCAATCAGTATATGTCACATCAGCACCTTATCTTTTTTAAAGAAAATCTTTAATCTTAACCAGACGATTTCTCTATCGTGTTAAGTCCGTTTTTTTTTTGTATATATAAATAAGATTAATTGTGCTCTTCAAAATTATATCTATTTTGATATATTTTTGGAACAAAAAAAATCGAGACATTTTTTTACCAGTCCATACCATGATGATATTGATTACTATTAAAATAAGAGCATACCACAAGATACCACCCCCATACCTAGGGTTGGAAGTTTGGTACCTGTATTTTGGATATACCGAATACCGTACCGAATTGGGATACCGATTGGGATACCGAAATTATTTAGGGGTTGAGATTGGGATACCGAAATTATTTAAGGGTTGGAATTGTGATTGATTTTAGGGTGTAATTCGCTATTCGGGATTTCGGTATTTGGTATTTGGTATTGGGATACCGATACCGTACCGATTTCCACCCATACCCATACCAGGGTGGTATAGTGTGGTATTTTATTTTCCTGTGTTTTCTTCACCCATAAATTTTTAGATCCAAATAGATAATGATGAACTCGTTCCTGCTGTGCAAATATTTTGAAAAACGAATTAAAAACGAATGAGACCATATGGTATTGAGTTGGTAACGAGAGGTATGAAGAAAAATCTCAAAAAATATAAAAAATGAATCTCTTTTTGTAGAGCAGAACGAACTCGTTCCATCTGTGCAAAAATAAATTAAAATCCGAGTTAGAACGAAGAAGATAAGAGCTGATTAAGAAAATTAAGGAAAATAAAATGTCATTAAATAAAATGTCTTTAATGCTCCACTCTTAAATTTGGATTTTCTGAGGCTACATAAAAAGAAAGGTCCAGATTTAGTTATGCAAAGTTGCATTTCCTAAAGTTATGAACCCTAACTTGAGTCGGGAAGAAGGGTTGTGATAGGATGAGTAAGTGCATAACTTTGCGTAATTAAATATGAGTCTTTCATTTTAAGAGGGCTCTACATCTAATGGTTGACAATTAAAGTCATTTTATTTTTTCTAGGTTCTTTAATCGGCTCTTATCTTTTTTCGTTCCAATTTGTATTTTAATTTTCTATTTGCACAGATGGAATGAGTTCGTTGTGCTCTACAAAATGAGATCTATTTTCAATATATTTCGAGAATAAAATTCCATACCACTCGTTACCATTTTCATATCATATGGTAATTTCTTTATTTTTATGTCGATTTTGAAATTTTTTGCACAGAAGGAACGAGTTTATCATGATCTATTGGATATACAAATTTCTAGAGAAAAAAATACTAGACCAAAAATATCATATCATACCACCCTGGTAAAAGGGTGGTATCTTGTGGTACACAATGTTGAAAGTGGTAAATGACAATTAGTATATTTCTAATATAATGTATTCACCCATCCTACAGTTTGGTATCTTCATATGTACCACCATGATACACTTTCATACCAGATACCACGTGTTATGCTCTTATTAATACCAAACAATACCACCATGGTATCTCCTAGTCCTAAATATCTCAAAATGTTTAATTACAAAAATATATCAAAGTGGATATTATTTTGAAGATAAAAATTAATCTGATTTATCTATGAAAAAATTAAATTCTGACTTAAAAAAAGTAGTCATTTAAAATTTAGAAGAAAAAAATTAAGTCTTCCATAAATAATGAGGTAACACCAATTTAAAAAGTTATGCATGATTGTGCACCACAAAGTTACTAATAGGATCCGTTCTAAAAAAAACAGTTTAGCTTTATTTATTGAGATAAAATGGAAACTTTTTTGCTCTATCGCATCTGTTGCCTTATGTTGATCTGTTATCTCGATAAGGTCCAATTGATAAATTTTTTTCGTTCTGTGTGGTTTATTTTTATTGATTATTGTCTTAAAATTTGAGGATACAGTTTGATGAATGGAAAAAAAAAAATTTGGTCGCCATCATTCGTATTATTGTTAAGTCAATTAATTGCAATTGGCTTTTCATATTGCCCTCTCTGGTCATGTTCCTCTCTACTGTGACAATCAAGTTGCCTCTTCATATTGCTGCCAATTCTGTCTTTCATGAGCGCACTAAGCATGTTGAGATGGATTGTCATTTTGTTCGTGAGCAAGTTCAATTCTTTGACATCGTTTCGAGCAAAATTGCCTCGGATCAGCAACCAGCTGAGATCTCTTCACTAAAGGCATGGGAGTTGATTAGTTCGGTTATTTTCTTTCCAAGCTTGGCATGCATGACATTATGCCTCCGCTTGAGAGGGAGTATTGCGTATTACAAAGTCGGAGGACTGATTTGTAATTTTCCCTTCTTTTTCCTTATTTGTTGCGAGTAGGGTTTTACCAGCTCGAGTATATAGTTGTATGAGGTTGGCCGCGGTTACCTAAGAGCTCAAGTCAATATTAGCATATCTCGAGAGCTTCGGCTCTTCGTGAATTAGTCCCGTTCATATAGAGCGGGGAAAGCACATAAATCGCCCTGTTTTGTCTTTTTGCACGTTCATTTTCTTCAATAATTTTTTTTTGTCGATAACAAGATGTAGATGTTACCCGAAAGAATTATGCAATATCTGGATTAGTGTTTTTCAATTATCGATTCTCATTAAACCTCTTTGAAATTCTCCTTCCATTTAGCCTTGAGAATGCACTACTGTGTCAACATACATGGATATCATGTATGGTCATCTATTCTCCATTATCACCTCCACTAGTGGACGACTTAATAAAGTGCAAGGCGTACTATAGAAATGGAGAAATCCAAGAAAACGTGTTTCATTTCAATTGAAAGTTCATCAACTACAATTCTCACAAGTGGGTTAAAATTCAAATTACAATATAATATTTCTTTTACAGAAGCAGCCACTAAAAATAAACCAAACCTGGCGATTGCAAAGCCAAATTATTTATTACATTAAACAAATCAATGGAACGGGGAAACAAATTGAATATTGGGAAGTAAAAGAAAGTAAACAAAGCAAAGAATGATACGTGTGTATATATATATGCATAAAATAGTATGTATTATTCTCTTGTTTTTTTTTTTTTTGCTGTGTTGAACCAATTATCATTTTGTTTTCGTCTTTTTCCAGCCGTATAGGTGATGTGAGAAGAGGTCCGACCCCGGGCAACTAACACTTGGGGAAATCAGCTGGCGGCGGCGGCAGCTTAGTATCGGGAGTCGGGCCGTCCTCCACCTCGAACGCCATGGCCAGCCCCCACGGCAAGTGAGCATCCAGATGACAATGCATGAACCACATTCCTTCACAGATACCAAACCAAACCACAACATCATCATATCGATCAGATTCAGTACTACTCAACCCAGCCTAGCTTGTTGGACAAATTAAACAAAATAGCCTGACAGAAGGAAAAAAAAAAAGACAATGGACGCTAACCTGGATTGTTGGCCTGAAAGCGGAGCACCGCCCATCCTCCCACGGGGACTCCAATGGTGTTCCTGATCTGCGGGTTGTCGAGATTGAACTTCTTGGGGGCATTGACCGGGTCGTAGTTCCCAAACCCCTGAGCCAGGACGTGGAAGTTGAACCCGTGGAGATGGATGGGGTGATTCTCGACCACCAATATAGCCGTGTTCTGCAGCACCAACTCCACCGTCTCGTTGAATTTCAGCTTCTCGACTTTAGTTCCCTTGTGGACAAACCACGACTGGGTATCGTTATTCACCGCCGTTGCATTGGTGTAATCGAACTTGACCACGGGCTGGGAGGGGAAGTCCGTGGTGTAAACCCCGTTGACGCCCGAGTGGAAGGCTTGCAGGAGAGAGATGGTGGTGGGGAACTGGAAGGAGACGTTGTTCATACTGGCGGCGAACCGCTGCCCATTGGGCCCCTGGCAGGTGGCGTTCCCGGTGGTACTGCAGCGGTCCAGGCCCAGCCCAACGGTGACGTACATGTGTTTGTCGACTTTGGTCGGGACGGGGACCCAGTGTCGGGCGGTGGGCAGGCTGGTGATGTTGGAGTTGAATGTGAAGGCCGTCGGGGTGTCGTTGAAAGCGGGCAGAGCGGGCATCGGGGCGGTAGCGGCGGAGGATCCTTCGTAGACGATGAGGCCTCGGGTGGTGGTGTTGTCGAAGGAGATCCCCGGTGCGCTGGCGTAAGGACGAGCGGCCATGTAGTAGGACCCGATTGGCTGGTCGGCTTGGAGGAGGACGTCGGTGGTCTGCCCCGGCGCGACCAGGACCACGTCGGTTTTGTACGGTGTGGTGTAGGTGGCGTCCACGGCCACCACCGTGAAGTGGTGGTTGGCGACTTTGAAGAAGAGCTGGTTGTTGAGCGCAGCGTTGATGATCCTCAGCAAGTACGTCTTCCCTTTCTCCACACTCACCTTGAACGTTTCTGTTTCGTCGGATCGGATACCCCCATTAGTTAAAACAATAATATAATTTATTAACTCTGCTGAAAACCTAGTGTAAGTATCATATTCCAATAGGCTGGCTTACTGTTTTCGGAGCAAGGGTAGAGGTCTCCCGGGAAACCGTTGATGGTGTAGGCGTTGGAGTTGTTTGGTCCACCGCCGGTGGCGTGGGCCTGGGCCTCGACGTCGACGACGTTAGCATTCCACCACTCTCCGAGCAGGATGGGGATTTCCCTGTCGGGCTTAGGAAACGGGTAAGGATTGCCGGATTTGGGGCGGATGATGAGAGCGCCGTAGACGGTGGCACGAATGGTGGAGACGTGAGCGTGCCACCACAGGGTTCCCTCTTGCCCCGTCACCGTGAACTTGTACGTGTACTTCTCTCCGGGTCGGATCGGGCACTGGGTTATCATGTTGGGCCCGTCTGCCCATCCACTCAGCAACTGGAATATCCCGTGCCTATCAAATTAAAGCAACACAAATATAAACATTAATTAGCCTGTTTATTGGGTTTACTTGAGGAGACAAGACAAACTAGAAGAAGGTATTAATTCGTTCGAACAGCGAAAACCCAACAACGTAACTGCCATTATTCCAGGTTATACCAAACTGACTATGACAGTCGCGAAGAAAGCTGGCCTGGATAAGTCGATCGTTAAATAAATTAGCTTGTGTTGATGTCTTTCCTCAATTAATTTAAACCTAAGCTCGTCGACTTTTGGGAAAACTGTTGTTGTTGTTGTTGGAAGTGAATTAGAGTTGGTGGTGGGTCGATATAGACATCATATTATAATTATATATCATATATGGATTAAATATATTTAATTAAAATAAAAATAAATAAAAAAGCCACGAGGAGGCCGCCAGCAGGGCAAAAACGTTGAACATTGATTTTGAGAAATTACCAGTGGATAGAGATGTTGTAAGGTGAGAGGTTGACAGCGTGAACCACGAGGGTGTCTCCCTCTTGCATCCGAATGGTTGGGCCAGGGACGCTTCCGTTCACCGCCGTCACCACTTCCCGGTTGCACAGCCGCCTCACCGTTAGATTTTGCACCTGCATGCATTCATATTAGCTATAGCTAACTTGGGTGACAATGTAAAATAGTGACACACACGAGTAAAAATTAAATGATTTCTTACGTGGAATGTGTGCTCAACGACGGCGCCGGAAGCCAGAGGAGGAGGAGAGCAAGCCAGAAGGGCCAGAGCAATTCCCAGAAGGAACATAAATCCCTTCATTATATATGATTTGTCAATTGGGTAGCTAGCTTCCTAAAGTTTCAGGCTGCTGGCTGTAGAATGTGTATGGGATTTGTTGAATAATCAACTCTCTTCAATTTGCTCAAGGAGAAGGAGGGAATTGGATTGGATGATGTTTGGAGGAAGACAAAGGGGTTTGTATTTATAGGAGTTGGGGAGGGAGAAGTGGGTTTAGAAAAGATTTGGTGGAATGAAGGAAAAGGGTTGAGAGAGTCGTATCTTTTGGCCACGATTGCGTGGTTGAATTTAATTATTACTAACTTTACATACATATAGTTGGTGTGTTTGATCACAGCCTTCCTTGATGTGTTTATTTATTTGGAGCGAGTTTCTGTAACAAAGGTTTGAAAAAATAAAATAAAAAGGAATGAGGAGGACGAGAAGAATTCCAAATAATAATAAACAACATGCATAAGAGAAGCTTCGTTATCTAACAGCTTAATTTAGCTAGGTTAGGCCATCCAGAAATTCATCAAATCCATATAAAGAATCGATTCTAGTGGAGAAGTCTTGTATTGGAACCTATATTATATAAAATATATTAAAAAGATCCAGCAAGGATGATGCTGAATATATTGCCTGAATGAAAATACATGTAACAAATGGGAGATTCAGTCTTTAGTTTATTCCCCTCAGCAATTTGAAGGGTTGAACTCATGAAAGGTACATTCAACTTAAAAATGCTTGGTTTTGTTCGCCTAAATAACAGCTTTAGTTTTGCCAAATTGCTGGACCCTGGACGTATGAAAATATCAAGAAGCGTTATAATTAATTAGTGCCAGATTACTAAAAATACTGCTAAGTTTTTACCATGAATGAAAATGCGGATGCTTCTTAAATTCCCCAATCTTAATAATGGAAAATAAAATTCAATAGGGTATTAAACTAATTTGTGTGCAGGTTCTCATGGAATGCGTTAGGGTGGAAATTGAATTTCTAGTAGCCACCGTGGCTACATCAGTATCCACAATTTATTTTCTTCTCTTTCCACTTTTTTTAATCTTACGGTTAAGATTGCCTCAGGATAATTTTGGAAGAAAAAAAAGGACCACACTTGATTATTCTATATATTCTACCCTAACCCTACTTCTACAGCCAAACCCGCCGCAGCCGCAAGCTCTCACTCTCCCCTACGATGGCTTAGGGTTTGCTTGTCCGACGACTCCTTCCGCGCCTCTTTCTCCGGCCACGGGCGAGTCACCAGTCGGATGGGTGGCTATCCGAGCACCGTCGCGCCGCCGCCCAGAAAGAGCCTCAATCAAAAGCCAACGACGAAAACACTGCTCCGCCGCTGCAGCCGCCAGCTGGAGAGGCTTCAATTGATTACGTCCCTTCCGAGCAACTCGTCGCCATTGAAGATCCAAACTCTGAGTTTCAAGTTGGTTCCTTTCTCTCTTTTGCAGGGATAACGACGGAACTGCTCCTGACGCTGTTCGAATTGGAAGACGTCGTCCACTACGGTATCGCAGGGAACGCAAACTTTGAGCTTCAGATCAGCGACGTGACGATTCTACGGTATTGGGCTCATTCCAGGCTCTGGAGCTGGCAGAGGTACGGATCCGGACCCAACGACACACTAGCCCAGGAGCCCGACGACGACAGCTTCACCAGGGAAATCGGCTACCTAAGATTCGCCAACTACAACACTACATCATCGCCGTCGGAGTCGTCGTCGGACAACTTTTTGAACAGCGTTTGGTATCAACAGGAGGAGATTTTCCCGGTGGACGGATCCCCTGAAGTCAGGCAGCGAATCTTCAATGTCCCCGTTTACTTCCCGGTGGAGATGTACATTGGTATGTTTTTTTTAAATGGTAGTCATTTTTGTCCATAGTGATTTTTTTTTAAATGGTAGTCATTTTTCCCCGTAGTGGTAGTGTTATTGTCGTATTGGTATTGTTTTTGTCGCATTGGTATTGATTTCGTCGCATTGGTATTGATTTTGTTACATTGGTATTGATTTTGTCGCATTGGTAGTGATTAAATCTGCAATGATATTGATGTTTTGTGAAATGGTAGTGTTTTTATTTCTTGAATGGTATTGATGTTTTGTACAATGGTAGTATTTTTTTTAATGGATTGGTATTGATTTATTGTTTTGTTGTTGCAGCGGTATTAGTTTGGATGAACGAAATCAAGTAAAGATTGAGAAAAAGAAGGAAGAGAAATCTGGCTGAAAAATTGTGGAAGTGAGAGAAAGAGAGAGAGAAAAAAATTGTATTTAATATATTTATGTAATTTCCTAAAATATAATTTATTAAAAAATATCATTAATAAAGTTTTTGTTATACCCAATTTGCCCTTAGTAACCACGGTGATTACTATAACATAGTAATCATCGTAACCTGTACCAGTTTCTCATTGTCACAGGAAAGCTATTATGTTTAAATATCTTGAGTAACATACTTGATAGATGAACTAGAGTAGTCTTTTTTCTTGGTAATCTAATGAATTTTCTAGATGCGAGGTCTCATCATACATGCGACAATAATCGATTATCATTGCACAAGAATGCACAATTTCTTATATGCCATGCATTGTCCATCGATAAAATCACATATATATGCGTGATGTCTCGTCTGTCATATATGTGATTGATGTAAGCAAGTAAGAGTGATAAATCACAACCATGATCTTAACATCAATTTATTAGTTAAACATAAGCATTGATACACGTAGGATCTGTCAAGAACCAGTTGATCCCAATAATTGTTATTGGGATCAACTGGTTCTTGACATGGTATAAGAGCCTTATGTGATCAAGAGGTCTTGTGTTCAATTCCCGGTGACCCCCATTTGTTAAGCACATGGTATTCTTGTCTTCAGACCTGTGCATACTTCAAGCCCTTGTGAGTGGCTTTCGTTTGAGGGGGCGTGTTAGTGTTGTGGTATATGATCCACGATTGAACCTCTCCCAACAACTGTTAGTGTTGTGGTATATGATCCACGATTGAACCTCTCCCAACAACTCGAGTTATTGGGATCAACTGGTTCTTGACATGGTATCAGAGCTGGTTTGTCCTTGAGGTCATGTGTTCAAGTCCTCACGACCCCCTATATTACCCGTTGTCTTTCAAGCACATGGTAGGGTTGGGCCTGTGCAAACTTCAAGCCCATGAGTCGGCTTTCGTTTGAGGGGGCGTGTAAGGAAGTGGTTAAGCACCATACAAGGGCCTGTATAAGATCCAGCATAACCTTCTCCCAACAACTCGAGTTATTGGGAGCAACTGGTTTATGACATATGTTAGTGTTGTGGTATATGATCCACGATTGAACCTCTCCCAACAACTCGAGTTATTGGGACCAACTGGTTCTTAACATGGTATCAGAGCCTTCTGTGACCGAGAGGTCTTGTGTTCAATTCCTTGTGACCCCCATTTGTTAAGCACATGGTATTCTTGTCTTCAAACCTGTGCAAACTTCAAGCTCTTGTGAGTGGCTTTCGTTTGAGGGGACATGTTAGTGTTGTGGTATATGATCCACGATTGAACCTCTCCCAACAACTCAAGTTATTGGGATCAACTGGTTCTTGACAGGATCCACCTCTAAATAATGAGGGGTGTCCGCCTAGACATAGAGAGAGAGGGAGTACACTAGCACAATGACGAATCTTATCTCTCGCGAAACTAACGACTAGAGTTTAGGCTATGTATTTGATTTGGAATGTAGTATTCCACAAGTCATAGTCTTTTTATCTACTCAATTTTAGATACCTTTTATAACATATCTGACTCTCTAAAACACAACTCCTAACAAAGGCCAAGTGTAACCAATGGAAGGGACTGTAGTATAGTGGCTCAAGTGATAAATATCGAATCCATGGGTCTCTAGAGTTACTATTACTCAACTTCAGTTTATTATTTAGCAAACCAGATTAAGATGAAAGAACTAAAACTACTATAGCAAACTACAGTTAAAGTTAATCTAATTACAGGTTGGGAACTCACTTAGGTATGATTCCCCCTAGCCACTAGCCAGACTAACGATTGATGATTTCCAACTTGTTTCACTTTCATTCACAATGCGGAGAATCCTTGAGTAGACCTTGAGTCTCGACTAAAGGAACAAGGCCCTCTTGAGTCAATTGCCTAGAGGGACGTATCCTTCTCTAGAACAACTGATCAAGGCGTTCTGAACTAGACTCCCTCTATCGAAAGAGGTTCTCAATCGATACAAAGCAGTGAATCAACCCTCGACTAAAGCAATCGATCCACTACTATCAATCTATGGTGCTCTATTGACCTAATCAGGTATTCCCTCTCATAGAATCAAAGCAGAATCAATAATCTCGACTAAAGCAGAATTGAATCATGAAAACATGCATAGATTGAATATGAACTCAAGATTATCCAGTCAGAGTACTCATACAATCATCCAATCAAACAAACATAGCTAGGGTTCCTCAAAACCTAAGTGAAGGGAAGTTACTCCATAGAGAAGAGAGAGACTGCAGTAAGAATCTTCAGATGATCAGTCTTCAAGTCCGGGCTTGTTCCTCGAGCTTTCAAGGCGGAGAAATCGTCCAATTCCACTCCAAGAATGCCCTCAAATCGCCCTCTCTCTCTTTGGTTCGTCCCTTGGGTGTTTGGGATCCAAAACCCAGCTCTCCCTCTCCTTTGGCTCGAATTTGCGTTAAAAAACCTGATTCTGGGCAAAACACGGTCGAGGGCACGGCCGTGCTTTGCTTTTGACCGCCCGTGTTTTGCCCCGTGTTAAAAACACGCTCGCGCGCGTCGGCCAAAACACGGTCGTGCCTAAATATGGGCACGGCCGTGTTTTGATTTAGGCGCGCCCGTGTTTTTACTGCCGAACCTGTTCCCCTATTTTCAATGCTTCGTTTCTCCCTCATCCGGACTCCGAATCAGTCGCCGTTTGATCCCAGACGCTCGTAGTCTCGTCCTCTTTCTTTTAATGACAAGCTTGCATGATTCTTTGTCCATAAAGTGAGGTAGAAATCCATTCTTCTTCAGGTCATGCCC